GTATGATATTAACAATTAGGAGTGATAAACATCAAAAGCTTTTATAATGATATGTTTTATTACCTGCTCCAACAGTTCCGATTAGAAATACGAGAGCTACAAACATCATATTGTTCTGGTGTTAAACGGTCAAAACTTTGTTGTTTGGGAAGATTTAAAAATACAAATTTATTCCTCCTCAATAAAACCCCAGAATACCGTGCTCTGTGGAGGAAGAGCACTGTCATTTTGTGGATGAATTGTTCGGAAAAAGGTTGAATTTATAACTTTGAGACCCGGCATTCCGGGGCAACAGAATTTCGGAAATTTATTGTATGAAACGGTGGCTTGAATTACAAGAAAAACGGATATTATATATATAAAAGCCTATGAGAACATGAAAAAATAGCATGATTTATGACAATTTGAGCAAAAAATAGGCCAAACATGACGGAAAAGTTCTCCTATGACTCTGAAAAGAGTCAAGAGATTTAGTTTAACTCCTCAATTACTGTGGGCAGTGGTGTTTCACTGTTAAAAGGGCTTACGGAAAATGAAAACGCGTTGCTTACAACGCGACAGTATCCTTCAATTTCAAATCAGGGAAACGTGCACATTGTACAGGGTGGCCCAAAAGTGACTACCCACACGCAACCTCTTAATAACTCACGTAATTCGTCTCCAAATTGCACCAAAATTTCAGAGATTATAGATATGGGTCAAACTTAGATTTCCTGAAAGTTTCGTAAGCCACGCCCAATTACATTGGGCGTGGCGTGACACTCCCTCTTTTTCACTATTGTCTTCATAAAATGAGAACGCTTTAAGCTAAGAACTCAAAATTTTTTGCACACATTTGGCTTGATAATTGAAAACCTTTCCCAAAGTTTCAAGTTCATTGGTTAAATTATGGCTGAGTTATGAACATTTCAAAACTCATCGGATACGTGATCCGAGCACTCAGTCAGTGATCTCTGCACTTGGTTAATGGCCTGTTTAGCTCACGTGCACCGCTTGATTGGTTGCAGCCTGCTTATGGGCCGGCCTATACAGCTGACAGCACCTAAAACGCTATCACACGAATTAATGGTGGTGTCACCATTTCAGGGCTTGTTAGCCCTTCTAGTCACAGGTTCCTTACAATCAATAAAAAAGGAATGAACCATCCATTGAATCATCGAAAATGGTTCACTATCCTCCCTTTACTGCAGAACAACGATTGTTCGTCTACCTGAAGAAAGAAAATGGGGAGTTCTACCCTCAGATTAAACGACAAGTCATTATTGGTATCCAATCAAAGCCTAATGAACCTCATTAATAAACGCTAACGCCTTATTCTTGATCAGATTAGGTGACGAGATCACTAATTGAGTGCAAAGATCACTGACTGAGTGCTCGGATCACGTATCCGATGAGTTTTGAAATGGTCATAACTCAGCCATAATTTAACCAATGAACTTGAAACTTTGGGAAAGGTTTTCAATTATCAAGCCAAATGTGTGCAAAAAATTTTGATTTCTTAGCTTAAAGCGTTCTCATTTTATGAAGACAATAGTGAAAAAGAGGGAGTGTCACGCCACGCCCAATGTAATTGGGCGTGGCTTACGAAACTTTCAGGAAAACTAAGTTTGACCCATATCTATAATCTCTGAAATTTTGGTGCAATTTGGAGACGAATTACGTGAGTTATTAAGAGGTTGCGTGTGGGTAGTCACTTTTGGGCCACCCTGTAATTAATGTTTCATAATTCGATTAATTAAATGAGATGATAAAATTTCCCGTGGATATTATTACGTTCCTCAGCGAAAAATAAGTTCGGGAGAGATTTTACCACCTTAAGGTCAATAAATTTGGTTCCCAATAAATTTTCGGTCATACATCCGGATCCCGATCGCACTGTCGCGGCACTCTCGAGGCACTCTCGTGGCATTATGGCGGCATTCTCGTGGCACTAATCACTATGGTGGCATTCTCGTGGCACTATGGCAGCAATATGGCGGCACTCTGGCGGCATAGTTCCAACTTTTAATCATGTTCGTTTAAAAGCATAGAAAATCATTATACCTTCATTATTATCTTTGATTTTTCCATTATTTAGCTACCGATTTATTTCCGATTTCGCACATATATAGCAGCGGTTTTAAAGGTTAAATTCTAGAAGGTGTCGTTTCACATAATTTTTTTCAATGAGTTTAACTAGATGCAGATACTGTCTGATGGGAAAAGGAAGTAAGATAATGTGAAAGCATAAAAGCAGTGGATTACACATGTAATAGTCAAAGTAGTTCAGCAGTAGGAACGTTGATGTCATTATGTTAATTATTACAATGTAAGCTCAATAATATTCATGTCATATATTATGCTCTGTTGAAATTGTGGTCTGCTTTAAAATTAGTCGCCGAAAAATTTAGTCTCAAAAAATTTGGTTTACAACAATTTTAATCACAATTTTGACTAAATTTATGGTAGAAATTTGTCGGTAATCTACATTTTATCTTAATTGCTAAATCCTGATAATGCCCCAACGTATCCCTAATCTCAATATATATCTTCCTGATAAAAGGCACCGATTTCATAATACTACAGGGTGGGCCAAAAGTCAGTACCCATACGTTGGCCTTTATAGCTCAGTCACTGAGTGCCCAATTTAAATACTTCTTTCTGATATGACTTAGTACCACCACTGGTTCGAGGAATTTGTCAACTCTAAAAATATTCGCGTTCATTTTTTTCAAATGGAGGTTCATTTTCACATTTATTTGATAGTTTGGATAGTCGGATCAAGCTAAATGTTATTGAATTGTGTTTGGCCATTCGAATTACGTTTGTCCTGAAAGAATTAGAACTGATGACCGAGATATGAAGCATAACGAGTTTATTCATTACGTGTGATTAGGTGATTGGTTTACCTAATCACGTGATAAGGTGCCCCCGTTAACTACCCCGTTAAACATTATGGGAATTGTTAAGGGTGCCCAATTAAGGTGTCGTGTCACGGTGTCACATAATCACCCAGTCAATATTGTTAACGAGATACAGAAAATGCTTGATAACTTCGTCATTTCTAATCCGTTTTGCCTCATGTTTTCAGATCATATGCAACATTTGATAATCTACCGTCTCTGAAAAAATTAGGCGTTCAGTATGTTCAGAGAAAACAATATAGGTGTTTTAATATTGAATGGGCGTGGTCTAAAATATTCGAATTTTCAAATTTTGACGACGGAATCCTCGAACCAGTAAGTACAGTATGCCATCTGCAAAGCAACAGCTCTCAAATATAAAACACGGCGGAGCTATTAAGGCCAACGTATGGGTACTGACTTTTGGCCCACCCTGTACTACTAGGATACCGTTACCGGGGTCTCTGCACGATAAGTATTACCGTATGGTGGATCTAGTTAATATGAATAAACTCTTTGTGCTTGATACATCGGTTATCTGAGAAACTTAATTTTCCATTTTTCTGGACATAAGTACATCAAATTCTTCATTTAAAAAAAATGAACACCAATATTGATGTATTCTTCGAACCAACGATAATAAATCAAGAGGCTTGCATTTGAACATATTGACATGAGTGCAGAGTTGAACCTGTACGGAACCTAGTAGATTCAGTTCCTTGTTTAACATACCGTTCAGCAAGGACATCCACTACTTTAGCCCGGCGAGGCACATAGTTCACTCTACAACTCAATGTCAAATGTTTGGTATATACTAGCCAAATTCACAAGATATATCCTTGTGTTTGAGAAGCGCTACTAGAACTGCTTCCTTTCCCTTCAGTATCCCACAGTCTCTCGATTTTTGTAACTGCAAGAGAACTCTCTTAAACAATTACTAGACACGGTGATTATAAATCAAGAGGCTTGCATTTGAACATATTGACATGAGTGCAGAGTTGAACCTGTACGGAACCTAGTAGTTTCAGTTCCTTGTTTAACATACCGTTCAGCAAGGACATCCACTACTTTAGCCCGGCGAGGCACATAGTTCACTCTACAACTCGATGTCAAATGTTTGGTATATACTAGCCAAATTCACAAGATATATCCTTGTGTTTGAGAAGCGCTACTAGAACTGCTTCCTTTCCCTTCAGTATCCCACAGTCTCTCGAGTTTCGTAACTGCCAGATAACTCTCTTAAACAATTACTAGACACGGTGATTATAAATCAAGAGGCTTGCATTTGAACATATTGACATGAGTGCAGAGTTGAACCTGTACGGAACCTAGTAGTTTCAGTTCCTTGTTTAACATACCGTACAGCAAGGACATCCGCTACTTTAGCCCGGCGAGGCACATCATACTAAATAGCACGTCATACTAAATTATTACAATTATAGGGCACTCAGCGACTGAGTAATAAGCCTCAACGTATGTGTATTGACTTTTTCCCCCTCCCTTTTGTTGACATTTCTACCAGACATAAAAGAGTTTGGGAAAATCACGTACAGCTCTTCTGAACAACACAGGCAGTTAGGCGATATATTTGCTAAATAGTACCTGCAGATCAGCTAATGAGGCAGAAATTATGTGACGGCTATTCTCTCTAAATTACCGTTTATTTTGTTGACTTGGTTCCTAAATACTTCCAAGTCTTGACTCTTGCAGATGATTACCAATTCTTGGCAAGAGAACAATACTGTTACTGATTAAGACTGCAACTTGGTAATTGCGCCAGGTGCTGCTCTGCTATAACGGTGGTTTAGTCGACGGAATCTTATCTTTTGAGATTAATAATCAGAGCCTTGATTTTAACCGGTCAGACTTTTATTTACTCAGTTACACTTACAGAGTAAAAAGCAAAAGTTATGCGGTCTGTTATAGCAGTACCACTGGCGCTGTGAAAAGGGGGTTAAGAAGGAGGGGGGGGGGGGGGGGGGGGGGGGATTTCGGTGAATGCTCAGTATACATAAAAGTTGTAATTCATGGGTTTCTATGTAATTATAATAATCCTGCCTAAAATAAAGTTGTAATATAACTGTATTATTGCAAATACTCACTGTTATATTTTGTTAGGTGGAAGCTAATCTGTACGCTTTTGTGTACGCGACAGTAGCTATGAACTGTACCGAGAAGGAGTGGGAGGCTATTTTCCAGGAGTACACTAAGGAATCCCTGCAGAGCAAGCAAAGATATCTCATGAAGGCGTTAGCGTCCACTTTTAATGTGGACATCGTCAAGAAACTCCTCAAATACACCATGGGTATGTTAAACCTGATAATTCTGTCATATTTCATACGTACTTGTTCAGATTTGTATTCAGATTTTACGATAGTGTTCACATAACGAGTACTGTGCAACTCTCAAGATCACATGAACTTGTGAGATGAAAATAATTGGTTTAACTTTGACACTAACAAAGTAAGTGACTCAGATGAGAAGATGATCAGAAGACAAGACGCCAGGATTGTTCTGATGCACATATCTATGGGAAGCTACCCGGCCAACTACGCTACCTGGGACTTTCTCAGAGAGAACTGGGCCTTCTTCTATGAAGAGTGAGTCACTGAGGAGTGTTATAACACAACCGGTACACTACTTAATCTGTAGTATTATAACACTACACAACCTGGCCAATTTCTCTTATAGTGCCACTTTTAGTGTGACTTTTAGTCAAGTTACCAAGTTACTATGGTTGCCAATGATTCTGTACGGCCCAAACTGAAGTCATTCGAGCGGAGACCATGGCCTATCGGGCGCCTATCAGACGCCTATCGGGCGCCTTGCCATGGCCAATACTACGGCACATTGTGTTTGGTCGTTTTACAAACTTGAAGGTACGTGACACGATCAATTTTTGGACTGATTTTACTTGTATATTATAAATAAGATGCGTCGAGTGCGAAGGAATCCTCTGATCTCACCCCACCGTGTCGAATGCAGGCTGCTTGCTTAGCATGTGTCCAAGTTCCCTCTATAGAGTTCGTGTGGGCTCCAGTCTCTGGGTCGACAAAGTTGGTAGAGTGATTCACATTAAGGTGTATATATCCCAAGCTCGTCAGGTTGACATATCCCTTCCACTTGTCTGTGATGACGGTCGTCCCTCTCCTCACGTAGGTCTGTACGATGTTCCCCAGGGTCCCAGCGTCACGATAGTTTCCAGGGAAGAAAGCCAGAAAGCAGAAGTCAGAATATCGTTGAACTCCTCCTGCCAGCCATGTTCCCTGGACAGGCCGTCCTCTGTTGAACTTATGCTTCCTGAACTTCGCTTCATCAATCTCCACAATTGTAGAAGGTCCACCGATGTTAGGGCTCGTCTGTATATCTTCTGCCATATGCTGTCGTATTGTGTGGAAGATCCGTCTGACTGTTGTCTCAGCGACACTCGCTCTCTCTGCAGTCCTCGTGACCGTCAGGCCCTCAGCAAATGATGATAGGATCAGGATGAAGTCACCATAGGAAAGGGTACTTTTAGAGAGGTATAGTGTGTCCTTTAGGGCACTGTCAGCAGCAACCGTCCATGTAGATGGCAGTGGAGCAAGGTTTTATCACCATTCTGTCGTGGTCAGGACAACGGGAACACCGTCGTTTCGTTGAAAGGATCTTCACGTCTATTAGATACTGGCTGCAGTTTGCGTCTGTAGAGAACATCCCAGTTGCTTGTAGCTCCTCGTAGGTAGGGTTGGTGTGAGTTCTGATTGTGTGGACCTTGGTGAAGACGTTCAGGATCGATGGTTTGCAGTTATCAGATGTGATAATACATGTAAAATCAGTCCAAAAATTGATCGTGTCACGTACCTTCAAGTTGTAATTGACCGATAAAATAACTAAAAACGGTCAAACACAATGTGCCGTAGTATTGGCCATGGCAAGGCGCCCGATAGGCGCCTGATAGGCCATGGTCTCCGCTCGAATGACCCAAACTTTTCCCAATAATGATGTTAATAAGATTTGCACACTTGCAGGTTTGGTCACACTAACTCAGGGTTCGACCTGCTCATAGAATCTGTTATCGGCCAGTTTTACAAAAAGGAAGATATAGATGAAGTTAACAAGTTCTTTGATAACAAGGACGATTTGGGCAGCATTGAGAGAGGAGTTAAAAAGGGTAACGTTCTTATTTCGTTATTCTTATAATAACTTGTAATTAATAAGTAATTAATAAAGCTGAAATACTCATACTATTGAATATCTCCATGAACATTGAATATTTGGCTATGAATATTGTGTTCTGTGCTGGTAATAGTGTATTTACAACGATTACAACACAAAATCTAAATATATTCAGAACAATCTAAACCCGTTCAGCACTAACACAAATGCTGATTTCTAACCCTCTCCAGGTCTAGAAGCAGCCTCACATCGGAGAGAGTGGTTGAAGAAACATAAAGAGCATGCTGGAGGCTGGTTAAAAGTTAACTTCCCCCGAGACTAGAGCAGATATCCCGCTCTCCAGTTACAAACTTTTTCTCTCTTCAGTCTTCACTTGTCAGCCGACAACATCCAGTTAAAACATGCCTCATCACTAATTGTTGACGCCGGAATAATGTAATTGTGTCTGATTTGCGGGACGATTAGGGCTGTTTTCAGTAAATTATTATGTCAATTAAAAGAATTCCAAATAAGCGTGCCACGTGATCTGTTAATTAAAACATACTCAGTATATTTGAAATGGTGTTAATTTTGTTATTATGTATCAGGAGGAAAAGCTTGTAAATTTGGACAAATTTAGTATTGTAAATTAGGATTGATTTGGAAAGCATTCTTAAAGCTGACGTATGTTATTAGTAATTTAAATTAGAAGAATAGTTCTTGATTTAATTTAGGAGTGTCCGTGTTGTATCTTCATTCACCACAAATGTTTTAACTTAATTTTGCATCCTGTTTTGTTTTAATCTTTATTTAAATTTGTGTATTATGATGAAATATTTATTCAGCTGGCTGGAACAGCTAAGATTATTTTATCATCGTCGAACCCGCGGAGTGATTTGATTTTAAATTATGAAAGCAGGTTTAGGTTTCTGACGGCGACGATATTAGTCGTTGCATCACAAAGCAAGTGTTAAGCCAGAAGATTCACGAGTCTTCGCGGTTTCAGAAAGTTTTGTTTATTTTGGATCAAGATGAAATTGTATCTAATTTGTCTTGTTTAGTTTTTCTGCAGTTTATTCTTTTTTTTTGCATTTCCAAATTCTTCCCGATGAAAATAAAAAAATTGTAAGTAGACTCCTTATTGGATATATTTCGCAGAATCAGGAACATTTTTATTGGATTTGAGTTTAAATTAAAAGTTTTAACCGGTGCTCGAGTAAGCAGTTCACGAGTGATATTAAACACTCTACACTCTACACCCGATATGAGGGGTCGTTCACATAATAATTAATAATAATATTACGTAATCACTTTTTGGACAATTTTAACCCCCTCCCCCTCCGTAACCAGTTTTACGCATATCTATTGACATTGTGTTAAAATTACGCTAGCGTAATCATTTGGAAACCCCCCTCCCCCTCGGCTGATTATTGATTACGTAATATGTGAACAACCCCTAATATTAAAATCAGTTCTTGAGGGGTTTAAAAACCACCGTTATGTGAGCTGACGGCACCGGTTCAAATGGATTTATACCGCTAATCTGCTATCTCTACTACCTGTGGATCAATTCTTGCTATATTTATTTAAATTGATTTTGATTGAAATTTATCTCTATACAAAAATGTATATTTAAATACACACGAATATCATAATAAATTGTATAATTTTATGATATTATATTTTATGTTTTATGACACCATGCTAATTCACAATTTATTTCAGCTTCAATGCTGATACAATTTAACATTCGCAATTACTAATAGTAATATAATATGGTAACTTCAAACTCGGGAGATCAAATTGTTTTCATCTCTCAAGACGATGTTGTATAGCGAAAACTATTTCTGGTGTATTATTTGTCTAATGTTTTATTAAGTTTAGGCTCTCGTGTTATATTTGTTGTTTTGGAAATTACGGGGTATCAATTTGTATTTTCTCCAATTTTCATCTAAACGCAAAGCATGATCACTCGTTTTAATTTTATGATTAGTTCAAGCTTCCTACTCGAGAAAATCAAAAAATGAATGAAATTTTGAAGAAATATAATTACTAACATTGTACATACATATAGAATATAGATGAGTCGTACTACCAATACAAACAGAATACAGATCCGTCTGACAAAATCATTTTCCGACCGTTTTGAGTCCCACTAGGTGTCCTTTATGGCCGACCAACTTTTCCAAACTTTCTTAAGTTGCTTTATTATATAGTCTATGTAATAAGCGCCATGAGTTGGCACAGAATTTTTTCCTCCGATCGCAATTTAACATTTACAATTGCTAATATAGGGTCACTTCAAACTCGGGAGAGCAATTTGTTTTTATCTCTCAAGACGATGTAAAGCAAAAACTATTTTAGTATTTCTGGTATATTCTTTCTCTGATGTTTTATTAAGTTGTGGCTCTCGTGTTATATTTGTTGTTTTGAAAATTACAGGGTATAAATTTGTATTTTCTCCAATTTTCATCTAAACGCAAAGCATAATTACTCGTTTTAATTTTATGATTAGTTCAATTAGCTTCATACTCGAGAAAATAATAAAATGATTGAAATCTTGAAAAAATGTGAACAGATACACCGCACATAGATGAGTCACCCGTAGATATTACTAGAACAGACAGATCCGTCTGAAAAAAAATTGATTTTTCGACATTGTTGAGCGCCAATAGGTGTCCTAAGTCCTTTAATATTTATGGCTGACCAACTTTTCCAAACTTTTCCACGTGTCTTAAGATCAAGGGATATTTTATTTTCATCAGCTTAGAGTTAGAGAAGACTTACATTTTTATTGTTACAATTTATCCATTAATTTGTTAAGTTAATGTTGTTTTGGCGCATGACAAAGGCCGTGTCGTTCACGTGGGAGGTGGCTGGATGCTACCACTTTCCATGTCTGTCATTAAGGGGGCTGGTTGTCACATTGGTAAGTGGTGATCGCTGGCCATCTGCCAGCCATCACCACTTATCTACTTATGACTGAGTTCAAATCCCGGCCTCCTCTTACACCAATGCACCATGGCTTTAGGTGCAGGTTGCAACTTTAAAAAATACGAAAAAAAGGAGAAAAGATTGGAGTGATCCTTATTAATCGAACACTCTAACATCGATAACAACACTTTGATCATCTTAAATTTTTTAGGCTTTCTGTGTAACATATAATCCTGGACCAGGCAAAAGTCCTGCTCACATTGGGACGTCCGCTCGGTTTCTCGATGTAATCCGACTTATATGGTCCTAAATAACACTAATTACTCTCTCTGAAGTGGGTCCGAGCAGTAGACTCGCGCTACTGACACCCGGGAATGGTAATGCACGGATACAGTTAACGCCGTGTAGCTAGAGCTTCAGAGGATCCTTCCCGATGCAGGTATGCTGAGTAGCAGATGCGACAAGCGCACTACTTCCAGCGGATATCAAGATGGCAGTCTAGCCATCAGAGTGTTTCAGAGCACTCTGAGTGTTATATTACACTCCTTACTCTTACCAGAACTCTGTTGATGTCACAGTTTTTAGTTCAACCCTGCTGTCAGAACCTCCTCACAGCTCGATGACCCTGGTCCTGTGTTCTGAGGCACATTACCCAGTACCCTTCTACCACCTTCCCTTCCTTTCTGTCTGTGTGTGGCTGCAGACCCTCAGATTAATCCTCAGTCATTTTCCGTTGCTTACGAACATGGATATGATGCTAGTGGGCTACCAACCTCTAGCAATACCTTGGTACTCGCAAAGTTTTTTGCCACGCACCCGCTTATCTATATTTCACCGAGCTAGACAACTTAAGCACTAGGGTTCGAGCCCCTAACTCTCTTTCTGATAGCACAGCTCATGATGACGCTACACCTTTAAACCCTCCTGGGAGAGATACAGCTGATGGTATCTGTGCTAAAAGAAAGACCAACAAAAAACCAAAAATAAACAAAAAAATCTCAGAGTCCTTTTATCTTTCTACCTACAATGTTAGATCTCTCACTGAAGAATGGAAACAGTGGGAGCTTGTATGTAAAGCTAAAACATTCAACATCCCAGTGATAGCACAACGCATACTATGAGTGTACAAACCGAAATGGACAGCATCTCCTAGACTTCGCCCAAGAAAACACATTTACCATCGGCGGGTTAAAGTTTAGCAAGAAAGCTTCCAAAAAAGTGACTTGGACAGCACCAAATGGTCAACTGCATCAGAATGACCACATCCTCATTCGTTCTAAATGGCAGAACTCTCTTAAAAACTGTGAGTCATACGTCAACCCTTCAGTTCAATCTGACCATCGGATTCTTACAGCGACCATCAAACTGTCAATAAGGGCCAACATGAACATCACCCGGCCTAAGGTTATTAAGTATGACTGGGAAAAGTTAAAGAGTGATACACCACTGTTGAATGTCTTCCAACTTCAGCTCCAGAACAGGTTAAACGCCTTAATGGACATTGAAAGTGAGTCGGAAGACCTGATCCTACAAAATCAGCACATTTACACCAACATGATAAGTGCTATCAACGACACAGCTGAAAAGGTTCTTCCTAAAAGGAAGAAGACGAGCCTAACGGCCCAGATTTCGTCCAACCCTGAGTACCTGGCAGCTGTCAAGGCACGAGATGCTGCTTTGAAGGATAGTCACAAAAGGAAGACACGAGCCGCTACTAAAGCCCTGCGTGACGCCACCCTCAAAGTCAGAGAGGTCGAGACGAGTATACAAGAACAGTTTGTGAACAACCAAATCGACCAGGTTGATCAATTGTTCATGCCGCAACCCATAAACAACCCAGGGTTTGCACCATGGCAGACAAAGTCAAACAGTTCCGGTATCGCGTGGAAACTAATTAATGATCTGACGGATCGTAAACCTAAATCTATGTCACCTCTACCTGGATATAGAAACAAGGCAGAACGATCAAAGGCGTGGACTGACCACTACAGCAAACTGCTCTACAACCCTGCTGACTCCACCAGAATGAACAGCATCAGAATGGACAGCATTGATGTTTCTGAACCAGAGCTCCCTATTCTGACGTCTCCATTCACAGCAGATGAACTATCAACAGCCCTTAAGCAGACAAAGGACACGTATGGTCATGACGGCATACCTTCGCTTCTTTACAAGTGTGTTGACTTGAACACCACGTTACTCTCCTTGTTCAACAACATGTTGGCCACTGGTAAAGCCCCGGAAGAACTGCTTGTCACCACGATTCTCCCTATACCGAAAGGTGCTAAAAGGTTCTGTCCTGATTACAGCAGAGGCATATCCATCCTTCCTGTTGCCACCAAGATCTACAACAGGCTGCTTCTCAATCGTATCAGAACTCATATTGAACCTCGCTTACGGTACAACCAGAATGGTTTCCGTCCTGGAAGGGGCACTCGTGAACAGATCTTGGCCCTTAGGCGAATAATTGAAGAAGTCATCAACTTCCAGCTCCCCTGCGTCATCTCCTTCATTGATTTCTCTAAGGCGTTTGATTGCATCTTTAGATCTCATCTTCTTAACATTCTGGCGTCCTATGGCTTCCCTAAGATAATAATCAAAGCCATTATGTCCCTTTACATCAACACCAAAGCCAAGATCATGACCCCTGAAGGTACAACTCTTGAATTCCTGACCAACCTTGGAATTCTTCAGGGCGATGTTCTTGCTCCGCTTATCTTCATTATCGTCCTGGACTTCATTCTTAGACTGGCAATAGGTCCACACGATGGGCTTAAAGTAGGTTGTGATTACATAGCAGATTTGGACTTCGCTGATGACTTAGCTACAATCACACCCAGCTTCAGCGATAACAGCCGCCTCTGTCAAAGTATCTCTGATATTGCAGCCCGGTATGGTTTACTCATCAACATCGAGAAGACAAAATACATGTCCTACAACCTTCCACGGCCTGTTAACTCGGATGATAGGGTCTTCATTAACAGCAACCCTCTCGAAGAAGTCCACGACTTTAAATATCTAGGATCCTACATCGCTTCAACCAGCAAAGACATCAATGTCAGGAAAGGCCTTGCATGGAAAGCACTTGAAAGTCTAGATGTTTTCTGGAAATCTGACATGTCTAGAAAGATCAAGACTAAAATTTTCAGAACTGCAGTCGAGCCTGTTCTTTTATATGGCGCAGAAACATGGACTTTGAAGAAAGCTGACACTAAAGTACTAGACGGTGTTTACACACGAATGCTACGAAGGGTCTTTGGTATCTCATGGAAATCCCACACACCTAACTCCGTCCTCTACGGAAATATCCCATCGGTGACTGATACCATCAAAACACGAAGACTTCGTTTTGCAGGGCATGTCTACCGTCTACAGGACCAACCTGCTCAGCAACTCCTTTTCTGGCAACCATCTTACGGCAAAAGGTATCGAGGACGACCACACAAGACCTTTCCGGACGTCCTTCAAGAAGATACTGGTTTAGAGCCCCACATGATACGTCTGCTCATGAGTGATAGAGATAAATGGAGACATGCGTTGACACGAAACTCGTTCCAGATTTCATCTGGACCGACCTAGGCAGGTAGGCAGGGACTCGGGTACACTTTTTCACCAGTGGGGCATTTCTCGGAATCACGCCCTTTTTGACCGCACCCATATCGCGACCCCCACTATAAATTATCTCGGCTTCTGATTGAGATACATACCTCAGGCTTAGGCCTTAAGATACTTAAGGCCTAAGAGACTCAGTTTTTGAGAAATCGCCAAAAATCCGATTTTACTATATTAACAGTCTCGCAAGTAACAATTATTACACTTATTTCAAGATATCTCAGCTTCTGATTGGAGCTAAGCGCTCATCTTGGGCATTAAAATGGTCAGAATAATCATATTGAGTGGGGTAGAGCATAGTTTTAAAGTCCAACGTTGCCTGTTGGCCCCCCCCCCCCCCCCCCCGCTGAAAAAAGCGCCCCCCTGTTGGCGCCCCTCCCCTTTTGGCGCCCCTCCCTAAAATTGAACAAATTGGATGATTTTAGAGGATACGCTGGTAAAATCTCTAAAAAAGCGTGTGTTCTAGAGCAAAAAGCGCAGTTTTGCTAGTACCGTAGTTAAGTTTTTCCAAATTGTCCCACATTCAAACAACGATTTGGTGCCCACTAAGATTGCACCCCCCGCAGGGCCCTTCTTTACGCTACTGTATGATCACACCAACAGCTGCTATAACTTTCTGTGGTCTAAATTATTATGCTGACTTCTTTATAGTTATAGAGCCGTGAGCCGGCTAGCCGACGGCAATCGGCTGGCTAAGAGAAAAAATCGGCTGGCTAGCCGGCTAAGCCGGCTAAAACTGGGAATGGGATTACCATATCCTAATATTAGATATTGTACCAAACATTTTTATTTTGCTAATATTATTATTTTGTATTAAAATTGATTGGCTTATACTTTATGTTTTTTTATACTTTATTTCGATTTAAAGGGCAGGGTAGTGCTCCTCAATCAATCATAATAATAAGTTAGTCAATAATAAGTTAGGAAATTCTCACTGGTCAGAGTCAATCTCTAATTTACTTATAAAACTTAACAAAAGATCTCTGTTACGATTAATCATTAATGAGCATAATGGCTTTTGAATTGTCTGATGAGATCTTTGATCTCCTCTTGTTTACAGTCAGCCCTGCTGCTTACCATGTTCTTTCCACATCAGCAGCGGATGCAGGAACCGAAAATAAAGCGCATGCTAATTTTGAAAGAAGGGGCAATGTATCACTACGACATTTCCAAAATCTAAGAGTGTCTGCTGAAAATGTGTTAGCCGATAGCAATCGGCTGGCTAAGCCGGCAATTTCAATCGGCTGGATAAGCCGGCTTAGCCGGCTAGCTCACGCCTCTACTTCCTTAGTACACACGATCTGATGCAGGCCATATTGGCGAACAAAAAGTTAGCGTGTGGCATAAAAACAGGAGAACCATGGTTTTGTCACTACGTGCAGTATGTTTTAGTTACTATATGAATATATTATATGTTTTTGATACTCATGCCTATGTTGGATCTATTGTTAGGGATTACGGAGAGAAATATTGTTTAGTAATTTACTTCTCCTACTACTCTAACTCGGTGGATTCAAAATTCAGGATTCAGATAATAACCGCATCCTAACATTTTCATTGTTTAGAAATGTCCACATTTGTTAACTCCCAGGTAGCAAAATATCACTTATCAGCCTCACTAATATTTACAGAGCTCCCCTTTGTCACATGTGAGTCGAATCAGACAAACAGCAGACTTGTAGCGCACACGTGACCAAACGGTGGCATCACGTGATCCATACGTGACGTCACACGTCGTGTCAACTCACAATCACATGATTGATCGCCCAGCACGTGGGCACGCGCCGCTCGCACGTGTTAGTTTCCCAGGTCACTGAGCACTGAGGTGCAAGGAGTCCACCTGGTGTTTGCTAATTCTCTTCAGTGCTGCCGACCGGTGTCAGAAAAATGCTATTAACAGCCCCAACTAAATTTCTTTAATGCAGTTGTTTCGCTCCTCGCCATTTGTGTGTCTGTTCGTCATTTGTTTTCGAGCTGAATTTTCAAGTTGCAGCACGTGACGTAGATCAAGTGAGAGGGTCAAATTTAGTATTTTAGTAGCGATAACAAAAGTATATAATAGGATAGTGGGATCTGTGGCAATGTTTCACTATTTGGCACGGCACATTAGCAGGCAATGTGTTGAGTTCTCGCTTGATGATCTCTATTAATAATTGCTCGATGATCGCACACAGAGCAAATATGTTCATTTCCAATTTGCTATCTATACTTATCGTGTTTTATTAACTGAGCTGGAGAACAGAGCATACTTCTCAGCTCAAGTAACCAAGTATTTCCTGGAGCAACTAGAGACAATGTTTCAAATAATTTAGTGAGTCCGATCAGTGTAACATGTCTGTAACATGTCTGTTGGTCATCAAGTGTCATTCGTTTTCTGATTCCACGAACAGCAAATAAGCTCTGTTTATTCCGTTTTAGCTTTAGCTTTGACGAAGAGAGCGTTTCCATTATTTCCCTTCACTGACTCTTACACGCAAAAGAGTTGGCCTCCTCACCGCCTGATTATCACAATAACTTCTCACGGTTTTTGTTATTCAGCAGTTAGTCCAGTCTTGTGATAACCACAACATCACAGGGGTTTGTAAGTTTTAATGTTATGTGCCTTATTTAATATTTATTACTTTAGCTTGGTCCGTATAACATTCCCTCACTATAAATGTTTATAGGTAACCAAATTCCTCATTCATGCGCAGTAATTCGAAACAATTTAGAAAATGTGTGCTAACAGGTCTGCATTTAGCCTAATGTCCAACCTAATCAGACAGTTAAGTTAAATTTATTTGTTGGAGTTATTTTACTTGTTTTACCTCTTCGTTATATTACTATTATTATATCTTTATATGTGCGTTAGTGCTTAGTTGTAGTAGAGATAGTAGTTGACGATTGGCGGAATGCTTAACTTTTGTCACGCCCTAGTATGTTTTCGTAAGTTACTGTTATCATTTTCTACTCACTGCTACGTTTGCCAGATTAATTCCGTGATATCAGCGTCTGTTGTTGTGTCTTTAAGTCTAACACACTGATTACGTGTTATTACTCATATTCTCGACTCTTAAATTCTTCAGACTGTTCAATGTTATCCTCTGGACCTCACATCAAATTACTATCATAGAGCCAGGAACTTTTTATTGGCACTTGCGCTGCTCTTAGTCTTAAAGTGCATTAAAAAGATCCGATTTTGTATCTTTGGCCCAAAATGTATTTATCCCTCACAATTCCTCGTGGTTTATTCGTTATTCGTTCCAACAGGTGTGATAAAATACATGAAACTCACGTGAACTAACGTTAATGCTATACGACTACAAGCTTCAAATTGCCGTGTAACCATGGCAACATGTTTTCCTTGAAAATAATAATTCAATAAGTGATTATTAATGTTTAATACTATTAAAAGGTAATGAGATTATCGTCCAGACAGCTATAATAGCTATCAGACAGCTCTTTTCCCGACGCAAGTACAACTCTCCGCTTATATTTACATCTGGTTAGACTATTGAGTGTTGATGACAATGTAGAATAATTTGTAATATTAAACTATTATCCCAGTGCAGTGCTTTAGTACTACTAATGTGAGCCTGTTATTTTAAGGTGTTTTTAGCCTAATTAAGTATCATGTCTTACACGTTTCACCTAAATGAAAGAGATCTTCTAAGTTACTTCCACCTTTACCGACTAAGACGTTTCGGTTTATTATATAGCCTTTTTCGTATTGGAGACTGGTAACTTTGCAGATGGTATACAGCTGTCACTACTCATTCGAGGATTCTATCGCAAAAATTTGACAAATTTATCGTTGGAGGCTGCAGCACCCTTCTTTCAACATTGAATTGCTTGCCTGATTTAGGGAACATGCTAGAAACTCCATTTTTACGTATTGCTACACCAATAGCTCATTATAGATGTGGAACATGTTCATGTGCTGAACGCTTAACGTTGAATTAAACTAGCACACGTCATTCAGCAGTATTTAATGTAGTTCAATTACAAGCTTCCAGCTCTCAACAATATTATTATAACTCCACTGAACATCATGTTCGTCTTACCTGCTCACTTTACCGCACCTCGCCTATTTTTGTAAATTTGTAATTCCGTATAAAAGGATGTATTTTCACTTTTTTGTCGATGCATTTTGTGCAATGAAAATTATACAATTATCTTTTTTGCAGCATATTAGGAAACACTTTTTGTGTAATTCAAATTGTGACTTGTAAGGCTTGTTAAATTCCAAACCGTCCTGTGAGCAGGATAATAATCTGGCTCCTCCAGTCACCACTTCTACTCTTCTAGCTCGAAGAAAGAAGGGGTGTTACCTTTTAAATCACCCTATAGGCTGACCAGAACTGTAAAATTAGTACCTAAGTCCTGAGGCTTATTTGCATTTCCAGGCCCAGGATTGGACACATTTTTGGCACATTATAGAATATCTGTCTGTGGTTGGCTCAATAAATCTGTAGCTTTATTTTCAGTTCTTAAGAATAAGAAGCTATCCCGTGATCTCCTGGCTTAAGACCAAGCGAGCAAATCTTTATTTTGAGTATAATATTGAACTCATGGCTTCCCTTCACTACTTGGTATTTTATTTTTGGTTTTTAGTTTAACCCCAGACTCTTAACTTTTGTTTTTGACTTTATCTGTCCTCTGTTTTATCTCGATCATTTGTACTCGAACCCGAAGTTGAATGGCCCGAACCAATCAAGTTGTCAGGGCATGGATGTTTAATATTCAAATAATTACCCCTCTTGTACGTGGGAGTGGGAGTAGGGGTCATAGATTTGTATTTAATGAGATTAAAGGTTTAGAGCAGTAAAAGCAGACAGCTGTGCTCCGAGTTCCGGTTACCAGGTTACCCACCAACTCTAGCAAATGTTATACAACTCACAAACCTGCTACCTGCTCCATGTTTCAAAATTAGCCGCACGGAAGAGTGCTCAGCACGGAACTAAAGTTGAAGTTATTAGAGGGAAGCTAAGGCTCTGTTCCAACACCTGACCGAGTTTGAGTTTAAAGCTGTGACCTGAGCAGCTTATAAAACAAAGTAATGAAATTTATCCGTTTCGTGGCAACCCGTACTCGGCCTCTCTATTTCTCTCTGTTCCCTTTGACTGCATTTTCTTCTGCGTAGATTTCTTTGACTGCATCTTTAGTATCTGCAATAGCAGTATTGAGTACAGTCGTTTTATTTTTGTATTTGTTTCTGTGTCTGGTAATGATGAAAATCTTATAATTTCTTTACCCTTTGTTACTTATTTAAGTTTGTTATTGGGGCAGGTAATTTTGATTTAAATGTTAAATCTTATTCAAGTTTGCTACCAGAATTTTTCAGAATAGCCGAGAACCAGGGATCCTGAGCTTGACGAAAAGTGCGTGAAATATTTCGTATCCTTTTGTAATCGCAATAATGACGGGGGTAGATTCTCACATTAGTAACTTTGCATGTAACATACCATTTCAGCATCATACCACAAAAATTAAAAAACTTGAAACAACAATTTATAGCGAACGCTAAAAAGTTTAAGAGGCTATTAAGCAATATAGAAGGTTTAAGGTGGTATTAAAAGAGGTAGGTTTTGTTTTAAGAAAGAGCTTTTACAAATATTTTGAAGGTTCAATATTATACAAACATTCTTCCTTTGAAAGTACTCATTACAAGCTTATAACAAACTTGTTTTCAGGAGGATCTCAGTTATCAGGGCTGCTACCACAGCGCCAGCACAGTTGATGGTCTTACATCGACCATCACGGTATCCTTTTGCGCAAATTTGACCGCATGCACGTCTGATAAACGAAATATTATTTAGGATAATATCTAGCAGAGAGACTATTGTAATAGTCCCAGAGGAGGTTTCAAGGTTTTGAGTAGTTCGCATGCCAGAGGAAGGCAATTGTCATTTTAGTCAAAACATCTTTTAAGGTTTAATGTTATCGTCTAAGTTATCGTTAGAATCATCCCTGTTTTCGCAGCTGCAGGTTTACTGGATTCGTTTAGTCGGTGTCTCTGTCACTAATCTTGGTTTCTTAATGCTGATTTGGTGATAGTCTGACCCAGATCAATGGTTTACGAGCAGATCGACGGTCTCTCAACAAGTAAATATATGCCCAAAATCTTAATTTAATTTCTCAATTTCAATCGTATCTAATCATCTAATCGTCAACATGTATACTGGTATACATTGATGTTAAGTTATTAATAATGAGTCTCGTGATAATTATCTTAAAGTTAAGATCATCTTTCTTAAATAGTCCTTTTCACTAACAATCAACAACCGTTTTTCAGATAAGAAAAAGAAGAGACTAGCTATTGTATCCTTTTGTAATTCCATAATGAACCGTTAACTTAAGACAGGCTAGGTAACAGGCTAGGTAAGGTTAAAAATATATTGGTTGTAGTACAGGTACTTGTGAGAACGCAGGTAATCATCGCGAGGTTAAACTGTTAAGGTAATTATCTGATATGTTGAAAACGCATGATGATATGCATGACGGAGAATTATCGTTGCATCGCTCCACCCCATATTGGAGGTGATCATGACAGTAGTCGGGGTGGTTGTTGGTAACCTACTAACACCTCCCTCAGATCTTGGAGATTATGACAACCTCTACAAGGGGCTGGCAGACATAGTTCTTGAATGGTCTGATGCCAGTATAGAATCTTGTAAAGAAGCTGATACGTTCAGAATTGACCTTAGTCAGCAGGCTGCGTGCGTTGACGGGAATTGCAGAGTGGCCTTTATTCTTCTCTACCCTGAAGAGCTTGACTTTCAATCAGTGAGAAACACACTCAATGCTGGACAATATGCCCTTTAGATTAGGCAAACAAACATATTATGTACAATGATCAAAATACTGGCTATAAGTCTTATTTGCCGAAGCCAAAGATTCGGATCAACTCATCAACTGTTTTAAAATTAATTTCGGTTGCTTATTTCAGATCTCGTGGACTGACACGGCAAACGAACAAAAAACAACGTTGAGAAATGACTTAACAATTGAAACAGATGAACAATTCAAAATAATAATACCCGAGGAGGTTTTGCTGAAAGATCTGACCATTACCTTCGATGGATCTGTCAGTATTTGTGAAGTTATTGTTGCTGGAGAGAGTGCGGGTGAGTGTATTTCTTTTATCAGAGAATGTCGAACTCTCCATATCATGCATACTAGACTTACTATCTCGTTCACCTGAGTACTTATACTTATATTATGTACTCTGATATTTTTACTAGAATACTAAGTAATAGCTACTCTATCTCTTCTAGACAAGTACGAGTGCCCGGCTGGGAAGTTCCTCAAATCCAATCCAGTTCAGTGTGATCTCTGTTCCGAAGGTTAGTCCAGACAGTCTCACCCGTTCTCTTTATTGTTTAGTTCTCGTAAACCACTCGTGGTGGCCACTTTATCAATGACGGCTTATCTTATTTGTAATCTATAATGGATCTGATTCATTGTCATCATGAATAGTTCTGATTTCCTATTTCCGGTTGTGTTATGAAGTAATTATGTAATAAAGTATAATATGTGTAATATTTACAGGTGAATACAGTGACGTAGCAGGACTGAAGGAGTGTAAACAGTGTGCTGAGAATGAGAAGACAGAAAACACAGGGGAAGGTAATTATATCAATTAAAAACCACGTCATTATTATACATTACACTCAATACAACAGCATATTCGAGTTTGTATAAACGTTTCTCGAAACTGATGTCGATCTGTAAATCTTCTCGAATGCTTATTATATAGTTACCCATAATTACCTATTAATTGACTATTAATTACCTATTAATTACCTAATTACCCCCTCAGGTAACACAGGATGTACTCCCTGTGATTATCTACAGTACAGTGCTACTCGTAGCTCTGCTTGTAGTCCGTGTGACGGAACCTCCCAGAACAAAGCTGCTTGTTTTCTGAGCAGAGATCAAACTGATAACCGGGTCCCAGGCACTTTCGGGCACACAGATCTCAGATCCCTCGAAAGAACAGATGAGTACGCGGGGTACGATATTATGAGCGGTATATCTACTATCTCATTACAACCTGGAACCTTCCTCATCTACTCTGTAGTCCTGATTGCTAAGGAGCCAGGGGTAAGACTGATTAAGAATCTCATTCAGCTTAGCATTATAAACGCTTTTTCCTCAGATTCATTAAAAACCCAAACCTTTACTGAGTATGGCATATTCATGATAATATTGGTACAATGATTCCCTCAGGACCAAAGTATTCTAGAATCTCTGACAATAGATTCCTGTGAGAAGGACACCACATTAAGTTTCCCTGCTGGAACTGCTGTATTCACTTGCGAGAAGTCAGGACTTGCGTCTCTCTCGGTCACAACACAGTCACAAATAACACTTAAGAAAATGTTTGTGTTCGGTGTCCCGTTTAATGAGGCCTCAGCTCCTCCAGGATACAGGAACACCGGGACTCAGTTTGAGATATGTCCTCCAGGTACGAACTTTATATTCTCTCCTCCTATAAACCGCCTGGAAAGTGAACTTCATTTATTAAAACTCATCGCTGTTACTACAGCACTGTGTCATAATTTTGGCGCGTTTGATCTTTCGAGTAAAATTCCAGATTAAGCTCTTTTCTTGGTAATATTATTTTAAATCACACCTCCCCTCCCACAGGAAGCTACAGCCAAGGAGGTCAGGTGACGGAGTGCACTAAATGTCTTGATAACCAAGAACAGGCCGCAGCAGGACAGACTAGCTGCACCAACTGTAACCAGGGGTTCTACTCCAATATTGGGGACCCTACCTGCTCTAAATGTGGACCTGATTCCCCGGAGTGTAAAGGTGAGTTCCTCTCACCAGCTTAAAAAGTTAGGATTTTAGTTTCGGAAACAACAGAGTTTGTTGCTGACAAGTTATTTGCAACTACATCTGTTATCGAATAGGTCACACAATTTAAACAGTTTAAAATTACATTGCAATAATAATGATGATATGTCCCTCCCCAGACGCATGCCAGAGCGAGGAAGAGACAAATGAAATTTACGGAATTTACTCCTGGCCCTCAACCTCACCAGGAGAAACAGCCACAATTAAATGTGCTTACAATAACCACGTGAGTACACAATTCAGGGGCAGAGTTTACTATAGTTGGCTATAGTTGGCTATAGTTGGCTATAGTTGGCTATAGTTGGCTATAGTTGGCTATAGTTGGCTATAGTTGGCTATAGTTGGCTAAAGTTGGCTATAGTTGGCTAAAGTTGGCTATAGTTGGCTATAGTTGGCTATAGTTTGCTATAGTTTGCTATAGTTCGCTATAGTTCGCTATAGTTCGCTACTTACTTTTTTTGTTATATTGGTGTGCTTCATAGAATTAATTTAATTTTAAAGACGGGAATGTATTTCAGAATGCCGGCAAAGCCTTTAAGATGTGCGATTCTTCAGAGAAAACATTCGGAGAATCAGACTTCGCACAGTGTCACTCCAAAGTACACGAGAACATAAACATTATTAATAAAGAGGTAAATTTGAAACAAGAATAATCACTTATAATTGATTAGTCTTATTTTAAATGCTTATAAATAAGACCATTATGTTGTGTTATTACTCATGCAGCTTAAACTGTACATCACTATTCTCCAGCCGAGTTAACCTATCATTTCTTGACTATCACTGATGTCCAGGCTGATAAAATGGCGTCACCAGAAGATCAGAAAGCCGTGTCAGAACACATAGAAAGTGTGACTAAGAAAAGCTCTGGTATCATGAACTCAGATGACGTGAAGATGACCTCTCAGATTATTGACAAGCTTGTCGAGTACGACGAGGCCACAAAGTTGGATGAAGATGTAAGAATGAACAGTTTCCAGATAATCAGAACAAATGTTAACTTTTTTGTTAAGTTACAACTTATACCACGAAGTTGGCCAGCTTTGTAACCCAGTTATTTGTTTAGGTGAGAAACAACATCGTGAAGACAGTGGAAGGAGTTCTCGACTCTACCAGCGCCTATGAGATAGCTAAAGGAGACGTTGCCTCCAGGTTAGACTGAATATTCGATCGGAGCTGCAAAATTCTTTTCTTTAATTGTCACATTTTCATGTCGCACATTTGCCGATTACTGTGTTACTCATTCATCGCTTTCAGTATGAGGAACTCTGTAGAAAAGTTATCAAATAAGATCTCCAAAGACTCTAAGGATACTGAAGACAACTCGCCGATCTATGTGAAGGAGCGGAAGATGGGAGTTATCGTCTCCAAGACAATAGGAGACGACACTTCCTTCACCGTATCAGGAGATAAGAGTAACTACACTAACACTGACCTGGCTACTGACAAGAACAGTCCCGTCTTGTTCACGGTGAGTTGTGTCTTATCAGTAGCAAATAGTGCTTTTGTAGGTAGCCTTGCCCCTTACAAGGAAATAACCATAAACTATTCATGGTTTTCCGCCCTCATTATCTTGGTTAAGTTTTGTAATCAAATAAGAAACTGTTCATAATTCCTACTCGCACACAGTTGAATGACCAACCTTCTTTTAGCCATAGAAATGCTTATGGGAATGATTTGTCAGTAATTGCCATTACCAAAGCGCGACTGAAATCAGTACTCCCTAAGCCAAACAAGAACCAGTCTCCGGTATTCCAGGTGAACAGCCCTCTAACAACTGCATTTCTAATAGCCCTCTAACAGCCATTTTTGGGGGACAAAAACCTTACTGAACGGCTCTCTAAGAGCCGGCTAATTGCAATTTTAATCGTATTTCTAACAGCCCTCGAACAGCATTTTTTATTTTTGAAGAAAATTCTAACAGCCCTCTAACAGTCCTCTAACAGCCCTCTAACAGCCCTCTAACAGCCCTCTAACAGCCCTCTAACAGCCCTCTAACAGTCCTCTAACAGTCCTCTAACAGCCCTCTAACAGCCCTCTAACAGCCCTCTAACAGCCCTCTAACAGCCCTCTAACAGCCCTCTAACAGCCCTCTAACAGCCCTCTAACAGCCCTCTAACAGCCCTCTAACAGCCCTCTAACAGCCCTCTAACAGCCCTCGGCTAATAGCAATTTTAATCGTATTTCTAACAGCCCTCGAACAGCATTTTTTATTTTTGAAGAAAATTCTAACAGCCCTCTAACAGCCCTCTAACAGCCCTCTAACAGCCCTCTAACAGCCCTCTAATAGCCCTCTAACAGCCCTCTAACTGCCCTTGAATTTCTTCTTTTAGCCATAAGTAATGTTTATGGGAATGTATTGCCAGTAGTTATATTATAAATATTAACCCAAAATGTAATTGCCATTGTCAAAGCAGGACTGAAATCATTACTCCTTTAAAACTAAAGGGAGTGATGATTTCAATGAACCAGCCCCTGTATTCCAGGTTAAAGTTCCAGCGAATGAGAATAAGAGTCCAGTAACGGCTATACTATACGACACCCCCAAATTTTATCCTGACAAAATAACTGTCGAGGACTTCTCATCCGCACTTGCTGCACAGTTCACCAGCCCCAACCGTTCTAAGAAGGTATTCTGCCTTTACTTTTCTCCGTGTATTGTTTTATATTTGTAGATAGTATAAATATATTAGTATAAATACTAATATTACTAATATTCAAGTAATGTTGCATAATATAAAAATGTTGCATAATATAAAATTTTTAATGACCATTCTTATATTACTACGAAGTATGAAGACAGCTGTTCTTCTTGCAGGCTCCAAGTAGAGTAGTTTCCATGGTAACCGAGATAAAGTACGCGGAAAGCACAGGAAGTGTTCAATTTGAGGATGGCAAGGAGATTGAGATGAAATACAGTGTCAAGGTAACTTTACTGAACTTCTATCATGTTATAATTCGAAATCAAAGTTTAAATTTCAATAATCGATATACATTCTGAGACATTGAGCCCTTCTTTTGCAACAAATTACTGTCAATTAAATTAGTTTTTCTGAGAATTTCAAGTGATCAACCAATTGCCAATTACAGGAAGAGAAGCCTCGAACACACTATAAGATGCACTTAAAGTCCAGCTACGATTGTGTTTTCTACGACACAAAAACAGAATCCTGGATATCAGGCGAGGAGTCAGGTAATTTGCTTCTAACTTTAGGGTTTTGTGAAAATCAATATTGGTCAAGTGATAGTCTCAGTAACTTAGCTAGTACACCGCAGAGCCGTATCTGATGTGTTAATACTTCAGGCTGTGTCACGAAGGAGGAGATTGGGAGCAACGGAGAGAAGCTGGTATCTTGCCAATGCTCTCACATGACTAGCTTTGCTGTTCTCATGGTTTGTTGCGACAGATTTACACTTTCAGCACTACAAGCACTTACAGCTGCTTATACGATGTTTTATAGCTTATAAATTATACTTTTAAATCGGTCTACCTAATAACTTTGCCTAAACTACAATAAGTAGAGACTACTTCTTCTCACCGTCCAATAACTGTTTCCAATGCTCTTCGATCAGTCTTATCTGTAGACTAGCTAGCAGTCTTATCTGTAGACTAGCTATTAGTCTTATCTGTGGACTAGCTAATAGTCTTATCTGTAGACTAGCTAGTAGTCTTATCTGTAGACTATCTAGTAGTCTTATCTGTAGACTAGCTAGTAGTCTTATCTGTAGACTAGCTAGTAGTCTTATCTGTAGACTATCTAGTAGCATGGAAATAATCAAGATACATGAGAAGAGGAAGAGTATAACAGCTTACAATTTCAGTCGTTTGACAGTGACTACGACCCACTGGAAGAGACGGTGACTTCCATACTCCTGGGAATCAGTTTGGGATGTCTCTTCTTTACAATCATAGCTTACCTTCCAGCCAAGTATGCAGTTTAGTTTTTACGGATAATATGTTTAAAAAATAGTATGATCTGTGGGTTCAAAAATTCTAAAAAATTTTAATTTTGATTCAAGGTATCTATGAGATATTATTTAACAATTAACCGCACAGTATAGCAAGCCCTCCATTTGCAGGGATATGTTACGGACCCGGTCAGTTCGGATAAACCTGCTGCTAGTCACATCTCTCATGTTCTCCATCATTATCTTCTACTTTATGGAGCTGGTCGTCACTACTGATATAAAGGAGGACAATGCCCGCTCTGAGACTGATACCGCTGCCTTCCCTTGTGTTATCGTGAGTTTCTCTTTCTGTTCCTCTTTCTGTTTCTGTTTCAGTTGTACCTGTACAAACTTGTACAGGTACAACTGAAACACTAAGGTACTCTAAACGTACTGATAATGTTTGACAAATCTCTGAACGTCCCTCCCTCCTCAGGTTGCATTCCTGATGAACTACTTCTGGCTGTGTCAGATGGCGTGGATGGTTTGCGAGGCTCTGGTCATGTACAGAGCCCTCGTCAGCGCCGTCATGGATTCCCATATTCACAGATACATGCTGAAATTCAATCTGGCTTGTTGGGGTGAGTAGTTTTTAATTTATTTAGTTGTTTTCACTCGTTTATCACCCTTTTATTGTTGTCACAGAACGAATGTAACATTCGTTTATCCTGTAAAATTGCAGATACAGTCAGCTTTTAGAACGTCACAACTAGATATCCAACTCTTAACTACTTCGTGATCATTCTTCACTACTTGTAAGATATACTGATATATATTATATACCCAAAAGATTCCTGGAATTAAATGCTAAGTTGGGTACGACTAATCGCGTGGTGCTCAACACCGTGCGTAGTGCTTGCTTTGAACGGTATAAATCTTCAATCTCCATAAGTACTTTTAAGGCTTAAGTGCCGAAAGTTGAGTCGTGGTGTAAATACTGCAATAGTGTCATTTTAGGACTCTTTTAGCCGTGATATGATACTTTGGTGAAATTAAGTTGAGCTTTTTTATTTTAGCTGCTGTTGTTAGTTGGACCGAGTAAATTAATTTATTCTCACAGTTCTGTGATAAAATTGTACTTTAATCATGCGTTATCATAACAAGAGCCTGATTCCAAGCAATATCTAGCTATGTTATCCCTTAAACACTCCCCTTCAGCACAAACTCAGCTGAATCTATTCTTGTACGTTTACGTAGACACTAGACAATCGTCATTTCAAAGAGATGGTTCTACTGCAATATCATTCGGGGATTAAACGATTTAGCTTTGTAGTTATCTTGACAATTCAGGCGGTGACCCTTGAATGCTCGTTCTGGTGATCAACAGCAATATCGTACACCTCCACTGGAGGTCACACAATATTTCTGTTAATCACCGAATATTTGGTGCCCGTTGTCATCTGTCTTTGAAACTATTCACTGTCCACGACAGCATGGCTTGTTAATGATATTGATGTTAGAGTGTAGTGATAACGGTTTATCACGTACTACAAATATAATATTCATCACAGCTGACTTTTAGAAACAGGAGCTCCTCATTTTCTCCACTTTTAGAAACAGGAGCTCCTCATCTTCTCCACTTTTAGAATCAGGAGCTCCTCACCTTCTCCACTTTTAGAATCAGGAGCTCCTCATCTTATTCACTTTTAGAAACAGGAGCTCCTCATCTTCTCCACTTTTAGAAACAGGAGCTCCTCGTCTTCTCCACTTTTAGAAACAGGAGCTCCTCATCTTCTCCACTTTAAGAAACCGGAGCTCCTCATCTTCTCCACTTTTAGAATCAGGAGCTCCTCATCTTCTCCACTTTTAGAATCAGGAGCTCCTCATCTTCTCCACTTTTAGAAACAGGAGCTCCTCATCTTCTCCACTTTTAGAAACAGGAGCTATGTTAAGATGCTACACGATAGGATTACTTTCCTCGTTCTTTTTATCATCTTGGTTATTTTTCTGCTGTCCTATACTGTCTCAAAGGTAAACTTCTTCGTTTATGTGGAAACACAATTTGTTATAGCACTCCTAGAAATTGATATAGGTTGGGCAATGGAGAGAGTGATAGGAAGGTCAAGTTAGACATTGGAATGTTCTCTCTTCAGTCTTCGCTTGCTCCACAATCTTAACCTACTATCGTTTCAGGGATACCTCTGATATTCCCCATCATTGGCATTATCTGGGGACAGACTGACTTCGCCAACCCTAGAACGTGAGTAACGCGAGTGATTATATTCTTAAAACTCGTAATTATTACCTTCTTAGAATCTTAAGTATTTTTCAGATTTTAGATGATGTCGGTTGGTCATAAAACCAATTTATAGATTATCGATTAGGGGTCTTTCTTCATGCGACCATCTACAAATGAGTTTTGCTAAACGAATATGTTTAGTTACGTAAAAAAACGTCTGGTATTTTCTAAATCTGGATTTCAATTTATAACGTAACGTTTCCCTCCGCAGATGCTTCATCCGTCAGAAATATGGGCTGGTGACGTTCTACGGTCCTGTCATCTTCTGTATCCTCTTCAACATCTTCATCTTCGTCAGGATAGCCTGGTCCATATTCAGAAAACAAAGCATGGAAACCGGCAAGAAACCCGTCAGTGACCTCGAGAGGAAGAAGGTAGGCATTTAGAGTGTTTTTAGAGTGTTCTCTTTTCCCATTTTATAGAGACATATTGCACTTTGTGCAACGATTATTATACTGATTAAATTATTGAACTGATCTCTAAGCCTCTAAGATCTCACTCTTTGATGCCAATTTTAAAATAATCCCAAGCTATTTATTTAATTATCCCACTTTTAAAGACCCATTTACCCACAGAAGCAGTTCAAGTTTGCTATCACTGTAATGACCCTGCTGGGAGTTGCATGGATATTTGGCTTCTTCCTCATCATCAAGGGAGATAACACCATCTGGCTCAGATGGCTCTTCATCGTATTCAATTCTACCCAGGTACTTTCACTTTCACGTTCGTTTTCAGTTTCTCTTTTCATCGAATAACTTGAAGATGCAATAACCTGTCTACTCAGGGTATATTCATCTTCATTCTGTACGTTGTGATGAATGATAACCTAAAGAAAGTGTGGAGTAAACTGCTGAACATCGCCGACTCAGACAAACCGTCGCACTCCAGTGTCCCTTATTCTAGATCTAAAGGTAAGACTTGTCACGTGGTGTGACGTCACAACTCTTGTTTTGTGATGTCACGTGGTGTGACGTCACAACTCTTGTTTTGTGATTTCACGTGGTGTGACGTCACAACTCTTGTTTTGTGATGTCACGTGGTGTGACGTCACAACTCTTGTTTTGTGATGTCACGTGGTGTGACGTCACAACTCTTGTTTTGTGATGTCACGTGGTGTGACGTCATAACTTTCATGTTGTGACGTCACATCTCATTATGTGACCTCACGGGGATTACGGTACTTTCTGCTGATAGAGACTAGTTTCAGAAACTAGTAGTTTCTTGACTTTCTTGTATGCATTTATGCTTAATCCACAAATACATGGGTTGCTTACTTAAAGTTAATGATTTAGAAGCAAGCTTGTATAATGTAGAACTCAAAATATGGACTGCAAACTTTATCAGTATAAGCACTGCATGAATATAGCCCATAATTCCACCTTATCTAAACTAGGGCATGCATACATGGACATGAATAAAGCAGATATCTGTAGTGGCTCAGATATCAATATTAGTAAGTTGCATGGCCAATAACTGCAAACGAAGATCAGGCTTCATTCCATAACTTTAAATACTCAGGACATCAATTTTAACTTGATTGAAAATCTAGAGGACAATTATTTTAATTTCTTCTAAGTTTTTTCCTAATTTTTAAATCTCTGAAGATAGATCAGAAATTGTAGCTGCGAAAGGGCGACATGAGCCTCTAAAGCACGAATCCACTCGTGAAATAGAGCTATCCTGTAACTATGATTTCTTGAGCTCTTTTAACATGATGAGCATGAAAGTGATGTGCATGAAAATCAATACAATATTTGCCGAAGCTGAATAGCTGAATAACCATTGTTTACGCACGTAAAGCTGCATGGGTTACTTCCATCACACTTCACGTACCTCTAGTAGTTGAGATTGGATTGGTTGGTGTTTTGTAAGTATTCATTTGCCGAATGTTTCTAAAGCAGCTTCGCAGCACCAACCTCCCAATGTCTCAATGTCTCAATATCTCATTGTCTCAATGTTTCAATGTCTTATTCATGCCTCAATGTCTCAATGTATCAATGTCTCAATGTCCCAATGTCCCAATGTCTCAATGTCTCACTGTCTCACTGTCTGAATGTATCAATGTCTCCTTGTCTCAATGTCTCATTGTCTCATTGTCTCAATGTCTCATTGCATCAATGTCTCAATGTATCAATGTCTCAATGTCTCAATGTCTCAATGTCCCAATGTCCCAATGTCCCAATGTCGAAATGTCTCAATGTCTCCTTGTCTCAATGTCTCAATGTCTCATTGTCTCAATGTCTCAATGTCTCAATGTCTCAATGTCTCAATGTCTCAATGCCTCATTGTCTCATTGTCTCAATGTCTCAATGTATCAATGTCGCAATGTCTCAATGTCTCAATATCTCTAAGTCTCATTGTCTCAATATCTTAATGTCTCAATGTCTCAATATCTTAATGTCTCAATGTCTCAATGTCTCACTGTTAGAAACTGTCAAGAATCTCTCTTAAAGCAGCATCACTCACCTTTACACATCACAATAGAACGTGATACCCTGTTCTTACGACTGTACATTTCTGCGGAAGTCTGCTACGACGATTATAAATATCTCCCGAAGATTGAAACATTTCCAGATTTAACAGCTCTCTTCCCCCACTAACCGGTTGCATATATTATAACAATTAACAGGTACGGTCCTGACCACTCTGACTACTGCCACTGAGCTCTGTAACGAGACTGAAGCGTGAGATAAAGTGTGATTCTGACTATGAGTGAGCGAGAGGTCTGTGTGATCAGTTTGTGTGTGATAGCGTCAAGTGTGATTGAACGTTAAATTAATGTATTGATGTGAGAATTTGTGTGATTGAATAACTTATTAGGATAATTAAATGCACAAGGTGCAGGTGTGTGGTCTAATTAAACTAAACGTTTTAAGTGTGACATTGCCGAATGCTGTGAATAGGATGACTTTCGTACACTCTTTCTATTTGTTCACGATTCATTCCCAGCATCCACTAATCTCCTCATTATCCACTACACTAATCTCCTTATTATCTATCTTCTCGACAACACCTCACTAGAATGGCACTAGAGACCATCGTGGTGGGCTATACGGGTTATACTACACAGTACAAATTTTAATGTCAGAACATCTGCTCCTTCCTCAATCCTCCCCCGCAATAATGACCCTCCAGTGTCCTCTCTTCCAATAGAATAAATCAAAACCAGTCACGTGGCCCCTGACAACCAGTCCCTAGGCCCCTGACAACCAGTCCCGTGACCCCTGTCAGGAGCTAGTTTGACCGAGCAGCCACCTGGACCCAGTTAATGACCCGTTAAAGGACCCCACCGCTCTAATTTTTGTACTATCGGAGTGTGATACTACTGGTCTCTGGGCGGTCATTAGAGGGGACGTCAAGACTAGGAGTTACTGTTTCCGAACAGATCATGAGGGACCATGCGGCAAAGAATTAGTCAAGAGCGGCAAAATGCTGAGTTAGGAACGGAAAATTAAGGTAATTGCTGAATTTTTATGTGCTCGAGGAACAGTTCGCACGGCACACACCTGTGACCTTTACAACTTTTCTAATGGTATTACTGCTGCTGGTCAAGGATTCCATATATTCAGCCATCAGACATCACGTGGAAGAATACTTAGTAAGAGATGAAAAAACTGAGTTTATATATATGTTTTATGTATTATAAGTCCTGAATCAGAATAATGATTTGTATCAACATGAAAATTAATCATGTGAGTGACAGTGCACCTGCCACTTTAACTACAGCTGGCATATAAATCTCATATCACTAATCAAGTGTTTTTTTGTAATAAGCTGACGCATGGCTTGATGTTGAATCAATGGCGTCAATGAGTTCAAAATTCAAATCTGTGTCACCTGTCACACCCTAATCCGAGTCTAATCATTTTTAATCAAAATTCCAGAAATTGAGGATACTAAACCAGACCTTACCATCATTTCAATAACCACCATCATATTCAAACCCTAGCAGTTATAGTGAGAGTGAAATATCACTCAAAACATCGTCATCTCACACTCAACTTCCAACCTACTTCCAGGAGCTGGTACAAAACAGACATTCGCTGCGACCAAGAGTGAAATGGACCCTCTATCCACAGCCACCACCATCTCTACCCGCTCTAAGACCAGTAACGTTACCATGGTTTCAGAGGTGGACAGGTCGAGATCTGCTTCACCTCGCTCCACTCTGATGACAACCTCTCTGGTGTCTCCGGAGAGAAACGTCTACAAGAACAGCCCGGGAGGCGTGCACATCTACGATAATGTGGCCTCAATTATCGGCAGCTCGTTGGACAAACATACCTCAGCTCTCAACACCAATGCTAGCTCTAACTTTACTAACTTTGATCAGAACTCAAGTAAAATTGTTAATGTTAAGCATCGCAGAGCCTGATGGTTCTTTAATTAACAATTTATTGTGTTAATTATTAAATTCTACTATCTACACATTTTCAGATTTGTAATTTTCCATATGTAGTGCTTCAACTAGATTTTTATCGGTCTACCTAATCTCTATAGATTGTTAAGCTTGTAGAGATTAAATATATAGAATATAGATAGTAGTACCGATTGAATAAGTAAAATATTTCAATTTGATGTAGTCTAATATCGATTTAAATATCTCAAACATGTATTGATAATACTTGATTACAAAAGGGTTTGACTTAGCGATGTGGCCCGTTTAGCGTTTATTTAATCATCCATCAAATATCGACAACGCTACCTAAATTTATTTGTTTATCAATTGATGATTTAACTATATAGTGACGTAGCCAGCAATGAATTCTTAATATTTGATTGCCGAGTTAATGTTATACTTCATGCTTGGAGACAAAATTGCCAACGGTGAAGTTATTTTGTTACCTTTCAAATTCATAATGACGTCCTGTTTTAGAAAAATCTCGTTTTCTTTAGTATCTTTTAAATTTAGCTCACCATATATATGTCTAAACCTGAAGCAAATAAATATAAATTCGTTCATCTATCCTCTCCTATAACAGTCCTACTATTACTCTTAAGGTTTTGTCATCCTTCAAGTAGTGGTGGACGAAAGTTCTAATCTTAACAGTCCACTCTCCAGGTTTCATTTGTTATTTTTAATCGACGAGCTAAAAAAGATAACCTGCGATAAATTAGAAGCATCTTGGCGGATTCGTACAATTCAGTTGCCGCACAAATATCTGATAATGATATTCATCTCAACAGAGGGTCAAATACAGATAAGAAAAATAAACAAAAGATAAACGTCAGCTGCTCCTGTTACACTTACATGATTGGATTTGGTAGGATCGGTGTCACTTGATAATGATATAACGCATCAATTGCCATTGGTCGCTGATCAGGGACAGACCACATTTTGACCCGTTCCTAATATAATTTAGTGTTATTGATTGTATCGTGTTGGATGAAAATGCCAGATTCGTGGTTCAATATTCCTATTTTTGAAACACTGAATAACAAATGAGACACAATTTTAGAATTTTACGAATATAGAATAGAATTTCAAAATAAAAATACATTTTTTTCTTCCTTTTTCCCAGAAAGGTTTTACCAGGGAGGACCGAGGATAGCAAGTTGATTAAAGGTATGTCGTCAAAAGTTCATGTCTTGAAAAACACGAACATACTCGGCTGGATCGAAGGAGTCTGGCTCGTAGTGCGTATCTATCGGTGTTGCAGTATCTGAGGTGTTGCAAGCGTTCATGTAACTTGTCCAGCGTACTTTGAAATCGTAGCTAGGTCGACTGTCAGGATTGTAGATCAGGAAGTAGAAGCTATTCCATGTTACTTTAGCTGGTAGAGAGATGATGTAACCTTCGTTATCTTCATAATTATAGTCATTGGAGCGATCGAAGAAGAGTTCAAGAATTTGAGGCTCGACAGCTTCTAGTGCCAGTGGCCATCTGCACGCCCTCATGTCAATTTGTACATATCGAAAGTAGTAGATCTCTTCGGAGCTCTGGTTGTATGGATTCCAAACGGAATCGGAGCCTGGACTTCCTAAAAAGGTTCCAACGCAAAACTTGTCGCAACCTCTGTAGGTGATTCTTGGAGGGTCATTTCCGTAGTGGTCGTTTTTGTTTAGCTGGATTACCATTGGATCTTTGGGTAGAAACTTTGCCTCATTGTTCACTTCTACATCATTTTGACTTCGAGCGTCAGCCACTGAAATAATCAGTGCTGTGAGCACGAATACCAAACTCATCCTGAAGATGATTTACAGTTAGGAAAATATTTAAGAATTTAAACGGACTGGAAAAGCGAACCCCAAAATGAACTTCTTGGTGCTCCGATAAGACTTATTAGATAATTAATCCGTAATGTGGTACCTGCTCTGATCTCATTGTCTACTGTTTAGTGATTCAGATAATTTGGAGGCACCTGGACCCAACGTTTTGGAGTAAGAAAGAACTAAGCCAACCCTCCCTGGCATATTGAATTTCATCATTCTAGAGGCAAGGTAGAACCGAAAGTCTGGATGCGATCCTGTGTCTGATCACAAACACCAAAATCACGAGTCATTACTGATCAATTCATGCATATGACAAAGCCGTGGAGATTTTAGAGATTTTAACTTGCTACAATGGAATTTTCAAGTTTGATAAATCGATTTCTGACACTGTCGAGAATTGGAATTTAACGAGAAGAGAAGAGCCTCAACTATTGCCATTTGAATGTATTGAGCTAACGAATAAGAAAGGGCATGAGTTACAAGTTGAGAAGAAAGAAGCCGCAACTTGTCACTCGAGATAGTGGTACACACTACACAACTGAGAAACTTGGAAAGAAATGGCGCGCCGCATTCTTGTACACTCTGACCCTTTGAAGTATGTGCTCAATGACAATTATACCATATTTGGGGAAGACACGACGCCATGACTCCACTCACTATACTGTATACTCAGTGCAATATCATTTGTCGCAAATCAGAATAATCAGAAACTATTTGGAAAACCCAAAAACTGTCTATTGTATACTCAGTGTTAGATTTGGTATGTGTACGCTGCTACGAACAGGTAATACTGCGTTTTCTGGCAGACTACAAGGACCAGTAAATATCAGTTGTTGTGGTTCTCCAATCTCCAGTTATATGATCAAGTCTGAAGTCATCAGCAGAACGCAGGTATGACACTTTGATATATTATATATCCACTAAACCATAAAATAACCAATTATTTAAATATATCAGGGGCAATTTCGCGTACAATTACAAACCCTGATATCATATTCAGGAGATATATTAGACTGAAGACATGGAGCAGTTTTCAAGAGACAAGAAACCTAACCAATCCGTTGTCAACGAAGTCCACTGCTGTTTAGGTTAGTAACTAGATTAGTCCTATAACAGATGCATCTTCTTAAAAATTATGTGATCTAGATCATTAATGGATAATATGTATTGTTTCGTGAAGGCGGTGTGCGTTAAAGCGCCACCTAGCTCTATTAACCTTGTATTCCCTGCGTTCTTTGTATTCCTTCTATTCCTAATGGTTTTCTTTGTATTCCTTGTTTTCCTTGAAAACCATGTTGAATATCGGTCGTTAAATACTAGTAAATCATTAATGAACCCCCAATGTATTTAATTATAATGAAGTTGTTTAACTTATTGATATTCAAGAAGGATTTCTCGTAGTGTTGGGGATCTTTATATCGATGTTTGGTCGAAGGTAGATGGCTGATGGACAGCTAGGACTTTGCTCCTTGTGGGTTACTCAAGCATTCTGTCCTTCTACAATCTACATTCTACAAAGTGAATTGATGTAGGATACAACGAGAGATAAAGTCTTGGGTTAGAAAGAGGTCGGTAGATAAGGTCGAGCATATTATGAAGGATGCTAACTCGGGGGTAACTATAATTTAGGCATTATGTCTCAGTCTGATGAACTTAAGTTTCCTCGTCCTCAGGGAGTGGAGGCCTTCAGAAGATTAATGGCTGAAGTTGCTAGACCAATCGGGAAGATCAAAGCTTTGTGAGATTTGGGTATGATTGGAATTCTCTGCTTTTTGTTCATTGTTAATAGGAGTACTGTAGATGGTTTAAGTTCCATTTAAATGTTCGTGTATAGTAGTCGCTGTGGTAATTTTACATAAGCCCACTTATAACTGTATAAGTTCTAATAATTCTCCCAACCTCTCTTTGGGCGGTGCTCTCATGAAGTCCCTACTCCCTATTTTCATCGTCGGAGGTGTCTTGAGCCTAGATACCGGGCCTCCATATCGGTCCGTTTAAGATTTATATCTATCTCAGAAGTGATTATGATAATGCTCATCTTCTTTTTATCGTTCCAATTTTAATGCAAACGCTACCGAATTAGTACGAGTGTATTTGTTAGTAAATGATTCGTTATCTTCAAGTAAAATAGTATACGAAACAAAGACATAAACCCTTCTGGCGCCTACTGAAACAATATATTAACTTAATCTATTGTTTCAGTAGTCGTATAATATTAAGCAATACATTATGAAGCAATATGTCGAGAAATATTTTATAGTTATTACTTAGTTATTTTTTATTGCTGCGATGCCAGATTTACACAAATTTAGTGATTATTGATGTTTAGGTACATGTTTTCTTATAGTTTGCCCCGTGCGTTCATACAGAGTGAGTCACCCTGGGTGACTCAGAAATCTGTACCCACACGCACCCCCAATTTCAGTTAATCACAATGGCTGTGAACATACTCACTGTATTATCGTTTGTTTTAAAGAGATTCTTCCACGGAAAAAGTTGAACTCTGAAATCTAACTTACCGTTTGCAACCAAGTGTTTGACTATTGTTATGAATGGACATATTTGGAAATTACAGTTACAAGGGAAAAACAAATCGATGAGTTTTTAAATTATTAAACTCGATAATAATAGAAGCTTTAAAATGTTAACGAAGTCATAAATTCAATAGGACATTCAATAAACCAATAAATAAACATGCGAAGAGTTAAACCTTGAACCATGATATCAATAGAAACATTTAGTCACAAGATTCCTAGGTTGTTACAAATTACGTTTAGAAATTGATACTTCCGTTGCACTGTGCATAGTAAAATTCCTTAATATGTTCATATGAAGTTCCAGATGTGATAACAGGAAAATCAGTAAAAACAGTAACTCCCTCCTGCAACCAAGGCGCTGTATTAATTGTACAACAGACAAGCTTGATGCTGAGTGGTGTGTATGCTTTTATGTTGAATGTTTGGGCGATCGTTTATTAGCCACACAGAATATGTTGAATGGTTATAATTCAGTACCAAACATCTAAATCATCTTAACCTTGTCTCTCCATCCTCCTACTCATTTCACTCCCTCTTCCTACCCTTACCTTCCACACTCGGTAACGAGAAGCATAAAATAAGATCGAAGTGTTTTGAAAGTAGAAAGAAACTCATTACCCAACAACAGAGTCTAATCTCATTTAGAAACCATCCTACTGTGAAGTTTCCTAATTGAATATGACGGCTTCTTTTGAATTTGACGGGTTCTTTTGAATTTGAAGTTGTGTTTGGTCATTTTCCTAATTCCAGCGCAATTTCAATGGTTGCAACAAAGATATTGTAAAATTCAATTTGAAGAAATCTCGCCGGTAAAGAGTTTTGGCGGGTTCTTTAAGCATGTGCAAATTGAAAAGTGCCCAACATAATCTCATGTTACCTTTATGGAATCAGCCTTGGTTGTACATCGATAATTGTGGTGTCATCATTAAAATTTCTCATTTAATATAGCAATGAACTTTTTGTTTTGTTTCCATGTTAGCTTTGACTCCGGTATTTGACAAATTCCGCTGATATCACATATACAGCTGATATATTAACCAGATTAAAGTTAGAATTTCTTCGTTTGGCCACCAAGAACAGTCGAATGTTTCTATTTGTGATTATTGGCTGATTATGATTGATGATTAACGTTCAAAGAGATGCTGTAATTTAACATTTTTTTCGTTCTCTATTCGTTGAAAATACCGGATTCATGTTTAAATGTCCGATTGCTTTACGGAAAAGTTACTAGATTTCCTCATATTTAGTTCAGGCATTCATTCAATGACTATAAGTATAACTTTTCTGGCCATCTTGCAATTCAACTAGGGTTTTTATTCTTGCCAATATTTGCTTTGCATTTCATTGCCTCGTCAACTAAGTACTATAGTCAGTAACTTTTATAAATAATAATTGTATAATATTAATACTGCCCGCAGAAACCAATTTAAACAGTAGTATGCATGTCCAAAGTCCATTGAGCTGGATTGAGAAGCAATCCCAGCCGTGAGGAGTGACAGAAATCTTATCAATGGCAATTTCAATTTAATAATATTACACACGAGATCTGTTGAGGACTTGATAAATTTGATATAGCGATCAAGTAAAATGTTGAAAGCAGGGAGCTCGTTTTTTAAATATCTCAGATTGCATGCATGCATGGAGCTTCTTACCGCCATGACGCATCGGTTCATTACTATCTGTCTTTTTCATTGAACGTCAATTAATCTTGGTCGGATGATGCCGTTACTATTAAAGCTTGTTAATGTTCGATTGTCTACTTTTCACTTTTAACTCGGATTACATCTGTAGTGAATTTGATGGTTTTAATTCTCGTTTCCGATTAACTGTGCTTGATACGGTCGCTACGATTTTAGCTGATGATGAGGAAACAACAGTACCTACCTGTACTTGGTGAGTGAGTGAGTGTGACCATATCTTGTAGCTATCAGCGATTATTGATATTTTTGTTCACGATCTTTCAACCAATTATTATTAATCTGTTCAACAATTTTTGAATTTTTGGTATTATGCTTATTGCTTATGTTAGATATAATACCACATCAGCAATAACTAATACAACTAAGACGTACTATGATTGTCAGTATTACTACTGTAAATTTTTCAATGCGTTTTGACGGGAAAGTATTACATTATCACGAAGTCACTGCAACCATTTATTTAGTTGTCAGATAGTTGATGGAAGGGTCACAGCCAGCTTTTAAGCCACGAAAAGCAGTGACAGGTTGTTATCTTGCTTTAGATACCCGGGCCGGCTCATTTACAATATTACTATATATAAAGCGATACGCTATATATATATACTTACTTGTGCTTGAAAAGGTCTCCTCCTATTCGTTGGAGTGGCCTGTACCACATACATAGTAACTCCTTTCTCCGGTGTATTAGACCTCTCCAATGTACCCTGTTTGTTGCTTGTTGTTCTGCATCTTCTATCGTGATGTTATCGACACCTGTGAAGATTGCTGCATCCTCCCGGAAACATGACAACCAGTTTTTCCGAGGTCTACCTCTTGACCTTTTACCATGCTTTGGGATCCAGTGCAGAAGATAGTTGGGTATTCTTTCTTCTGACATCCTCACCACATGGCCAAACCATCGGAGTCTAGCTGCTCGTACGAAAGTATCAACAGGGGCGATGTTAGCCCGATTAAGTACGTCAGCATTAGATACGTGATAAAACCATTTGATTTTCAGGATTCTTCTCAGACATCTATGATGGAACACCTCGAATCTTTTCATCTGCGTTTGTGTGGTATTCCATACCTCACTTCCATAAAGCAGTATAGTGAGGATGTATATATATCTGTTTATACCATTTTACTGACACCATGACTTCAACTTTAACAAGACTTTCCGCGAACACCGTGAGAGATATACTTTTGAAATTATTTTGGTTGGGTCGAATGCTTTTTTGGCCTTTTGATCAGTATAAAGAAAGAAAAAATTGGCCAAGGAATAAACAATTTAGGTTCCGAAAAATGAACCCCCAGGTGGTGTCAAAATCACAAATTATGTAAAAGTACACCTTGCAGTTTGCACATGCTTCGATCTTGCTACAATAACAACATTTCCTATTTCGAATCAAGTCATATAAGCATCATTAGAGTAGTATGAATCTGCTTCAATCGCTGCATTACACAGTTGCTTTCTTCGTATAGTCCATATTGGATTAGTTGACATAATGAAAGCTATAATAAATGTTTCATGTTGCTATAATGCTTACCTGTCACGTATGATGTACGAACCGTACGATGAACGAACGTATGATGTACGAACCGAAGTCTTCGAGAAAAGTACTATTTTAAGATGTCGGTGGAGCATTAGCTGAGATTGGCCACCGTTGCAAGTTACTTGCAGATGCTACGATTTAAAACCAAATCAGCCGTTGCATCGTTTTATCGAACATTTTTTCACATGGAGCCGATTAAAGCATGTTTGCAGAATTTATGACTACTTGGATTGGATATTCAATTGTCAAAAATATTAGATATCCAGTGAAATATTGCAATACATGTCCAGTTAGATAGTCAATTAAAAACTTTACTACAAATTTAAGCTTGTTACATGATCATGATGATGAGCTTGCAGTTCTAGAAGCATATCAAGACAAAACGTTAAGAGCGTTTCAATCTTTAAAATGTTGTCGAGCGTGATACTAGAGTGATATAGAAATAAATCGAGTAATAAATAGTGAAATAGCGATTTCCACATTTCATTTGCAGAAGTTGTTGTGATGCTGCTGCACATATCTTCACCTCTTGATCTGCAGGGAGAGTGATAGAGGATGACAAGAAGCGACATAGAGGTCTGGGAGGAGGAGATGGGCCTCCCAGACTCAGGACAGTGGTTGAGACGGTTAAGAACCTGCTCAATATCTCCAGGGATGTCAAGGACTGGCAGGCATCTATGAAACAGGTACTTGCTACTCATTACATACCACTATCATTTCACAATTCCTTATATTTACGAGGCTAGGTAGATTTGCTCCTCAACACTCAATCAAATCACCATTATCAACTTAATAACACCAGAATGTGTGTGTGTCTGTGTGTTCGTGTGTTCGTGTGTAATTTCCGGTCGGTTATACAAAAAAAAACGGTAAGAGTTACGGGACTGGTTTTTTCGGTATAGTGCCGACAAAACTCTGATGAAGCCCATAAGCAAATTGTTTTTAAATCGGCCGGTGGTAAGTGGTTTAATTGACGGTTTTGTACCACAAATGTTGCATAAACTGGCTTGAGCAGAACGGCAAGAGTTACGGGGCTTGCTCTCTATATCTCATTACTGTATAATATGTAGCTGCATTTAAGTAGCGTCATAATTGCGTTAGCCCGGGAAGATTCGCTGTAATGTTATACCATAAGCTTATTAGGGGAGGGGGACTGTTAGTGTTTGGGGTCTGTTTGGACTGCAGAGAGAGAGAGAGAGAGAGTTCATACGACAATGTTATGCGTGTTTTCAAATATAATAGGCGGGTGTGGTGCGGAGTTGACAAGGGTTAATTTCTATAACGATTTAAATAAAAATAGAAAGCGGTTCAAGACGGGAGTGATGAGGTGTAATACTCGGTGTTCAGACCTTATGATCATGGAATGTGGTGCCTCATGGCTAATAATGACTTAATTATCCACAAGAACTAACTGATTAACTTACTCGGGATTATTACGTCGGGTTTATTAACGACCGGTTAAAATATGGTTCGGGAAAAATATGGCGAAATTGCTCAAAACCCACCACATTTTCCCGGTCGCCATTTTACCGGTGTCCAACCTTTCAATTTTAGATTCAAAAATTTTGTCTCAGATGTAAATTTCCTTATTAGAGATAAGCAAGTTTAGAAATTTTCGCAATTATGAATAAATGACTGATGAAACTGAGTCATGTTATTGACAGTTTTAATTAATTCAAGTTTTAATTTAACTGTTACTTTTACTTTAAGTCCTATTTCATTATGTAGAGATAGTCAATACCTAAGAAATTAAAAATTGGCCTATTTAAATCAACTTTGACAATAAGGATATATGACAAGAATTGGGCAAAAAGGTGAATTTTTTGCAATTTTAGCCAAATGAAGTCGAAAAACCTACAACAAGTGTCCCAATAGTCTTCTTTAGTGAATATAAGACAACGATTAAAATATGAGCACCCATACCCCTTGGGAACCCTAAAAGCTGAGACGGTGGGTTTATTAACGACCGGTGAAAATGTGGTTCGGGAAAAATATGGCGAAATTACCCTAAACCCGCCACTTTATCCCGGTCATAATTATCCCGAGTAAGATATGAGATTATTGTTTAAGAAACTATTGGGTCACCTAATGCGGGTTTTGACTCAGCGGGTAATTACTCCTACCCTTTTTAACTGCAGCAGTGAAATCCCGGCCGAAGGCCGGGTTACACTAGTAACCCTACAATCCAAGATGCTCGTTGAATAATCATTATCTGATAATTATCTGATCATTATCTGATCGTGTTACTGTGTTAGCGGCATGACACCTAGCATGGATCTGGATTGCATTCTAATAGTCTAATATCATGTATAATATGGCGCTATCAGTGCTGGCCACAGTATTAATAGCGTGCACGTTGTTGCCACTTAGTAGTGGTGCAGAAAAACACAATATGCCGACAAGCACTGTTTAGACGTCACACTGTCAGAAAACACTGCCAGGAGAGACGCTGTGGGAGCTGTATTTCAAGTTGTGCACTTTGGTTGTGCACTTTAGCACTCAGTTGCACTTTAGTTGCACTCATGTATTGTCCCTTACTGTTATTCAGGTGTTCGCGAGCCTACTTCATGCCATTTTCATCCATTCTCAGTCTTATGAAGTGTTGTTATTTTTGCTCGTGCAGCAATTAATCATTCAACTGCTGACTTATAACGTCAACCGTTTCTGCTGCTTTCAGTAGTGTGCAGCTTTGCACCTATATATACTATACTATACTACCCTGAATATAGAATACAACGGTATTTGCACCTACCCTGAATATAGAATACACCGGTATTTGACAACATTATTAGTAAAAGTTATAAAAGTAGATTGTGGAATTTCCGATCAATCTCACACACACGTTGTTTTTCACGTTGTATCTTGGCATGTGCATTCTGTTCGTATATAGCTGTTGAATAATGGAAAGATGCTGATCAGCTCAGTTTTGGTCGCTTCTTATCTATTCTGAGCCCAGCTTGGATCTTCAGTGGTTTCACATGCTCATTTTCCTCTTTTAGTGTAAGAATTAAGGAATATTCACCCAATAAAGTTACAAAACAAAAATCATTCGGGATAAAATTCTCGAGTGTGTGCACATGGGTATGCCGAGCAAATTGCACTGTTTCTTGATATATAATGCATAACATACAATATATAATGCATAATATATGACGCATTATGTCACCGGTTGGGGAAGTCTATTTAAATCGATCGGTTCAATTTATCAGAACTCTAACTAGGAAAGCTAATGACTGCTCACGGGCTCACCTTGACAAATTCTATTTGACATGTTTCTTCTAACAAATTGTAAATTGAATCCGGTTATAATTAGAAGTAAATTCAACATAACTCTTCACTCATTAAAGTGGCCGTAAAGACATTAGGGAAGAGATGGTAACAATATTTCGTTGCCATGGCAGCAAATGAGCCAGAGTAAAATGGCCACATGTCATTACTCTAGGTGGTATACAATATGTACACTACTACTACTAGCTATCCTCATTATCGATTTTCTTCAGAAACGTCTGGACTCCGCCTTTTGTTTTTAAAGTTTTTCAGTGCTTTACCATTATGCTGCAATGTTTGGTTGCTAGGTTGTTGTTACGCAGCCTCTAGTGATTTGGATATTTGTATCCTGATAATGTAACCTCGTAATTTGAGACCGCAGTATATCCGGTTCTGTCTGATTCGATACGAGTTTAACATTGCTAGATATCATTTTCTCACTTGCTTACTTGTACCACCAACAATTCACAGAATATGCATTCGAAATCATAATTCATCAGTCATCGACAATCAAGCAAATATCGTGTACTACACGAGCAACAATTTTAGATCTTGTGCTTACTTCATTTGTATTCTCTATACTAAAGCTCTGTGCTACCTGCATTTTTGGTTTAGACTCTTTCTGCGGTTCAGTTTTATTGGTTTCTTGTCACTTTGAATGAGGTGAACTAAAGGTGGGATTAAAGCATCGGCTCCGGCTTGATTTTTAAAATTGTTTAAATATTAAATATTATTATTTTAAATATTTAATATTGTTTCACGTTCTATGCACGAATTGGGTTCCCTTTATCGGTTATCGGTAGGGATTTATCACTGATAACCGGTAGTGAAAAGTTGCCTTATAATCAGTGATGATTTTATCGCCGCAAATATTAGTTGCAAACCGGCCTATAAAGCAATGAAAGGCATTAGTTTGGTCAAATCAAACGGAACATATGCTATCAGACTTTCAACTGACTAAGGCAGGGTTAAAACAGTTTCGACGCTAGCAACGATCCCCTTTTACATAGTTCCACTAAAATGATAATTTAAGATTAAATATGTATAGTGATAGGTAAATAAAGTCAAAAATATTATAAAACGGTAGGGATAAAGTATACTGAAACTAAGTAAACGTAGTCGACACGTCATAAAACGAACTGACCCAAATTAAACTGAAAGATCTCCCGCGTAATTTCCCGCGCAATTTTAAAACTCCGTGTACGAGTAGATGTCGATGATAGCCGTTCATATAATTAACCCCACGTTTATATAACGACCCCTCAGGCTAAAGTAAAAGCAGAGAAAATGAAGGGGGCTAATCCTCAGAGAAGGCCTAGTGTCCACGAGCCTATTATACAAAGGTAGGGACAATATTTCAGGATAGGGACCGAAGGAGAAGGCTCGATTCTAACTTCTGCTATTTCTGTTCATAAGTTAGTGAGACATAATTGAAAAGCACTGATGTCAGTAATATTAACGGCTCACTACTATGCAGCTTCGACACAAAAGATAACATCCAGCTGGCAGAACATGTGACAATAAAAGACCTGAAGGAGCTGATGAACCACTTCTCTCGGGGGGACAATGGTTCACCCTCCTCGGACATTAGGCTTGATAAGGGCCAGTTTATGGGGGCCATTACAGAGCTGCTGGCTAACTCAAAGTGGGAGTATCTGCTGGGAAGTCCTGATTGGGAGAAACAGCTTGACATGCTCTTCAACAAGGTTAGAGACAAAACAAGGTGTTACATAAAAGGTTAGAGACAAAACACGGTGTTACATAAAAGGTTAGAGACAAAACACGGTGTTACATCGCTGTTGGAGAAAACCTCCTTATTTGCTCCAGAACCACATTATTGAACAAACCAGAACCTTAAATTATTAAAACCTCTGACGTTTTATTGCAGGTTGATGCTTCCTGCGACGGTATGGTGGATTGGAATGAGTTCTGTACCTACATGTTACTCCAATATCAGGAAAAAGACGCCGTCCATAATCGTAACGCTCCCTTCAGGTTACTAAATTTTAGTTGGTTACCAGATATGTTTAGGCTACTCAAAAATATCTTTAGTAACTCAACGAAACCTTAACTAAGATCACTAAAAAGTACTAACCGTAACTGCAGAACAGGTTGACAACTGTAACAATGTCTTCAGGAGGGAGGAAAAGTACGTTAAAGACAGTGCCAGTAAAGAGACAATAACCCGCGTGTGTTACGCTAGCAACCCCAGCAGATACCTCAGTGTTACCAGGGTAACTACACATTTGTACTATTAGATAACTCAATGTTACCAGGGTAACTACACATTTGTACTATTAGATACCTCAGTGTTACCAGGGTAACTACACATTTGTACTATTAGATACCTCAGTGTTACCAGGGTAACTACACATTTAACTCAGTGTTACCAGGGTAACTACACATTTGTACTATTAGATAACTCAATGTTACCAGGGTAACTACACATTTGTACTATTAGATACCTCAGTGTTACCAGGGTAACTACACATGTGTACTATTAGATACCTCAGTGTTACCAGGGTAACTACACATTTGTACTATTATATACCTCAGTGTTACCAGGGTAACTACACATTTGTACTATTAGATAACTCAGTGTTACCAGGGTAACTACACATTTGTACTATTAGATACCTCAGTGTCACCAGGGTAACTACACATTTGTACTATTAGATACCTCAGTGTTACCAGGGTAACTACACATTTGTACTATCTGTCAATGAACACTGGATAACAGTCTCAAAAGACTTGTAATATTTTATCCGGAATAACCTAGATCCCAGCACAATAAGACTTGTGTTGCAGGATGGTAACTTATCACTGTGGTCTATGAACATGGAGCTGCAGAAATCAGTACAAGTATGCGACACTCAACCCACCTCCTCAGTGCAAACCTTCAGGCTGGTGCTACTCCCAGAAAACAAAGGTGCCATCTTAATTAAAGACCTCTATTATACTTCTATAATTCACTGAATGGAATAACATGTTTATTGTTTAATCTGATATGCTATATCTGACACAACTTTGAAATGTACACTAGCGCTCCCATTGTCCAGGTTATGGATAACCGACATGTGTGTGATGGAGAACGTAAACAAGCTAGTGATAACAACCACCTCCCGGGAAATGTTCTTCTACGATATGAGCACTAAAACTTACTCCGTCCAGTTCCTTCTCTTTGGTAACAATCACAGATCATAGTTTTTTTAAATGTCTCCTCAAAAGATGTAACCTGCCAAAATAAACGGTGCCGGTCAGAACATCATAGTTCCTGAAGTTTATTTTCTGGCCATTGCCCATGTTGTCCATGCATGTTGCATATATATCTTATCTAATTAGTCAATGATGTTAGTTACTAATGTATTCCCTCATCACCTACAGAGTTAGAGTACGTGCCATTGTGTATGACATATTGGTACAATAAGTCGGACCCAGGAGGCAGGAGCTTCCTTATATTCGGGGATGATAGCGGGTGTCTCCACATCTTCAACTTCCTGCAGCCCATGAAGGGCCTCTTTGAGTCCCCCACTAAGAAACAAGAGGGATATCTCAAAATCAACATGAAGGTTAGACTCTCTGTAATATTTCATGTCCTGATTTCTTACATTCTGTTCACAAATAATCCATACGCATCTTACATCTAGTTATTCTAGTTCCGAACATGCTACGAAATCAATAATAAGCTCAATTTTGCTGTATTGTTTGATCGTTTATTGATTATAAATTTTAAAGATTTCGATTACAAACTTTCTTCCATTTCTGTTTACTTTTGGTTCTTTGCTACTCGGTTTTCTTCTGCTCCAATGTGAGGCATGTAATCAAATATTTTAGCCCCACTGCCAGAAGATTGCTTCAAACACGAGAAAAATAACGTTCTCATCGTCTGGGGCAAATGATGACAGGAAACTTGATACACAAACAAGAATATCGAAACAGTTTAGCATGACAAAAAGATGTGTAGTTGAGGTGTCTGAATTCCTTGCTAAGGTGTTTGATTTTCCTTGGCTTCTGAAAGAGCATAAGGAAAGGAAGTTTCCAGTGACCCCCAAAATTAATCTTACTGAAATGTAGTGTCACCGTGTCCATAATCATAAATTCATACCCAAGCTGAAAATATGATGGTTAGTTTATCCTTGTTTGATCGAAAGTATTCGTTTGATCGAAAGTCTTCGTTTGATCGAAAGTATTCGTTTGATTTTCACTGCACTACTATTGCATACTATGTGATTAGCTTCTGCACACGAACTTTAGAAGACAATCAGAGACAATAAATGATGTATTTTGTTTTACAGTGAGTGGAGACTCTCATTTCATCCCAAGTAATCTATCAATCAACTGATCTTACTAATGAGATCTGTACAGATGATGATAATATTGGCTAGTACTATTAGCATTGGAGTACTGTTAGAATCGCCATACAGCTGATCTCTAATTCATAATCTGGTGGATTTTTATTAACATCTTAATAAATGAATATACAAATGAAATAATCAAAATCAGAAACAGATCTTCGGCGCAGATGGTTCGGCGCAGATGGTTTGGCGCTAGTCAATAGTCAATAATCATAAATCTACATATAGTTTAATATGAAGTATATCATTTCAATATTTTAATATTTTACTACTATTTACTGAGAACATGCTACAGTTTACTTATAGTCGATTATGCAAATATGTGTCCTAATAATATCAACTAGCTTTATGAACTAATTCGATGTCTACCACGCATTAAATAACGACTTGTAGACGGAAACATTTAACATCGCAAATCTACTGATCCTAAAGATGGCATGTGCAAAATACTATATCTGTAATCTGTTGCCGCACAACTATCTTAAAAGTCGTATTTCCAAACATATGCTGTTTGGTTACAATAATATATCAGTGTTATTGAGAAGCAATCTACTGCTCCAGTGAACAACATACCACATCAATAAAATATATTTCATTGATGTGGGATATTTTGTGGAATAATATTAAATCTAAAATCAGCAACAGCCTGATGAATGCACGTCAAATTTGCAAGACAGTCAGCAGATCTAACGAGCGAATTGTATAGATTGGATAGAAATAACTACTGGGAGTAGTCCAAACTAAAGGGCACCTGGTCTTCGATATTTCGAAAGCTGGAGGATTTTTCTTTGTGTACTGTGATAGTTTGAAATGAGAGAGGCACAGATTTGTAATTGTATATAATATTCCTGTCACACAAGTCCTAACTGATCAAACCCCCGTGCTCCAGGATCTGTCAGATCACAGTCTAAAAGTACACCACGCCCTGTGCATGGGAGGACCTGTGCACTCTGACTGGGTCAGAAAGGTGGTATACATTCCGGAAACAGACTACATCCTCTCCTGCTCGAGCAGCTCCGAAGAGAGTATGGTACTCCAGGACAGACTCAAAAAGAAGAAAAACTATATCTACAAAGTCCGCAAGGTTTAGGTTTGATAAGAGTTATTTTCTGATTGTTGACTGATCAGAAAAGTATTCGTACTCTGGAAGCTGGTAACATGATATTAAAATAATGACAAAAAAACGATATTTGTTGAGTATAATTGGAAGTGTGTTTCTAAATTAGGCCCTCTTATATTACAGGGGATTAACTGCTTCGACTTCAACAAGACCCTGAATATAATAGCGACTGGCAGCACTGACCACACTGTACGGCTATGGAACCCTTATGTAGAAAGTAAACCTACTGCTCTGCTGAAGGGACACCAGACTTCTATCCTGGACGTGGCCATTCACGAGAGTGCTGGACAAGTCTTCAGTTATAGTATGGACGTGGTGAGTGATTAGTGTTTTACAAGAAGAATATCCTGCGGGTGGTGCTTGAAAACTTTCGGGATGAAAACAGGTTACTTGTCGGCAGATTATCATTGCTCACTCAGTTTAACATGACTATCTTTTACCATCTTATATCTTAACGACTGTATATAGTTTACATCTTTACTTTTGGATGTTTTAGCGATATCTAATTTAATATTTCCGTCAGGTCCTAAAAGTGTACGATATAAAGGAGCACACTTGTCTCCAAACAGTAATCCTCAAATTCCCCCGAGGCAGCAGAGTGCCCGATCATGGCCCCTTCGTGTTACATATTCAGGTAACACGTCTCTTAATTTGACAACTTCGTGCACTCTCTTATTCGTCTTTGTTCTCAATTCTTGATACTGGTATGGAAAGGGCACATTTCTCTTCGAAACATTAACATAATCTAAACATGAGCATGATAAAAAGATAAAACAGAAACATGAACATAATAAACATGAGCAACATTTTTTCATCTGTTCAGAAGAAAGTAACGAGCGCGCTGATAGTGTGCAGTAATGACTGCATGGCAGAGTTCAGGATGGGGAACAGAACTAACAACAGCCAAGTAAAAGCAGTTCAGAGCCACGCCAAACCAATCAGCTGCTGTGCTTACAGTCCTCAAACACATCAGGTGATGGGCGAGAGAGCTTAGAGTAAAAAAAGAGGGTTCTTATAAGTCCATGTTAACAGAGCCATCAGTATTTCTCACTAAATCCTCTTTCCCTGACAGATAATGACAGGCTGTGAGGGATCAGTGGTAACTGTGTGGGATATCAATACAGGTGCGAAGATGCTCAAGTTGAGCAACACTCACGGTAAACAAGAGATAACCTGTATGAGCATTGACACTGGCGGGAAACGACTTTTAACTGGGGCAAGAAATGGAAATGTTAAGGTGTGTTAAATCTCACTCTCGTTTTATGTTATATTTCATTGAGATATGATGTGATGGTATTTAATTTCCTGCCTGGAAGTAAATTTAAGTAAGAATTCTACTGTAGCTAATATTTTGATGTCAGGTGTGGAACTTTAACAACGGTCACTGCTTGAAGAAGTTGGAAGGTTTAGTTGAAGCAGAAGTGACTGGAATCCTTGCCTTCTCAGAGAAAAGTGTGATATATACAGCCGGATGGAACAAATGTATCAATGTCTACAGAGATGATAAGGATGTATGAGATTTATTTATACCTGGTATTTGTCCAACTTTATTGTCTATCTGTGCAACCCTTTTTAAACCCTTTACACCTTTAGTTCCTTCACCATCACCCCACAATCTCTAGGCGTTTTATCTGCGACCTCAGCCAGAGTGGCGAGGAGGGAACGTGCACAAAGACGACATTCTAACCACCGCCTACTGCCCTCCTAACCTCCTGGCTACAGCTAGTTTTGATGGGGAGATCATCGTGTGGAGCACAGAAACTCAGAAGATATTCAGAAGGTTCCGATCAGGAAGTAAACCCGTGAGACACAGAGGAGGAAACAAACGTCCCTCTAGCAGAGCTTACCAGGAGCGACCTGCTAATACTAACGGGTCAGACATAAGTTAGATTAGAGAATGTATCTAGCAACTCTTTTATCCATGTGATAATAATTCATATTAAACGATCTTGCGTAAAGTCGCGCAACCACGTCGTGACGTCACATCATATAACAGAGCGTCACCAGTGACGTCACATCATATAACAAAGCGTCACCAGTGACGTCACATCATATAACAAAGCGTCACCAGTGACGTCACATCATTTAGAGAGCGTCACCAGTGACGTAATATCATATTACAGAGCGTCACCAGTGGATAAAGTGGTATTCCTGGAGGAGAGAGTTAAGGAGAGACGTAACGAGGATTGCATGCTTGTGAGCAGCGAGAGCGGGTACGCTTTCTTCTGGAACATATACGGGGTAGCTCAGTGTGGGGGTAAGTTGATCGTTCCTCTGGAAAATGAACTTGATGATTTTAATGTTTTATAATACTGCTAGTTTATTCAACTTCTTTATCACAGTATTTAGTTTATAATAACGGTGTTTGCTCGTGCAGGTTCGTTCCAGACAGCGTGTCGTGATGGAGAAAGTGTGTTGGCAATGTGTACGGACTCTCAGAACAAACGGCTAGTTTGTGGGGACACAGCTGGTTACATCGCCGTCTACGACATCAGGAACTACTGCACCGTCAACAACAAGGTCTGTGTTTGCTTCACCACGCATCTTAACTTTTTGATTTCGAGGAACGTTTTGCGATGTTATTCTAATTTTAACGTGATGCTTTTTCACATGAGTAACGTATCCTGATTCCCCAGAAAAACACGACTCCTAAAAGGTTGACGGCGTGGCACGGTCACTGTGCAGCAGTGACAGCACTCGACCACATAGAACACGAACATGGCCTGTTCCTGGTGAGCTGCAGTACAGACAGCACCGTCAGAATGTGGACTGTGCACGGACACTTCATCGGCACTTTCGGGCAGGATATTCCCTGGAGTTTAGGTTATTTTCTACTTTCTTCTTTAGTCTTAGAGTGAGATATTGAGTCCAAACATATTGTGCAATTAGGGGCTAAGCTTTTGCGGACTTAAGGTATTGTCAATATTACGACTTCAGTATTGAATAATCAAACTGGAACGAATTTGACGAGCGACTTTGATTACATATTTGTACTAATCACTGAAAACTGGAGCGTTGGGAGAATAATTTAGGAATAAATTAGAAAAATGGGCATCATTTTCATAATTTTCGGACAAAAAATAAATAATTACATATATATATACATAAATATATACATATGTAAAATCCGGATTGGAGTATTGTTTATGAGTCGCATGGTTGCAATGTATAGTTCTTGTGTAAATTTGTATTAATCCCGTTTGATGCGACAAGGAAAAATGCTCTTATCAGGAAAGGAATTACTCAATTCCTTTCCTGATAAGAGCATTTTTCCTTGTCGCATCAAACGGGATTATAATACAAATTTACACAAGAATACATATATACATTTCACATATGTACATTATTTATAATTATACAGGTGCATTACAATAAGAACAGTATTAACCGGTAACCACCCTTGCAGCGGACAGAAACACGTTCAAGTATCCTCAGTCTCCGTTTGAAGCTGAGGGAATCACGCCGCCAACCTACATTCCCAGTATAGATGGAGCGGCTAGCAGGTAATTTTATATCATAATAATCTCTACTATAATTCAAAGAATTGTTTTTGTTTGTCTGTCGGTACGACCGCCCGCGTGCAAATCAGATGAGAAATAGGAAGTTGCATAGTAACCAATAACCATGGTAACGGTGTTCAAAAGCGTACGTGCACGTGCAAGGATTTGAGAGGGGCATTTTGATCGGTCTTGTAGTTGTGGTAATTATGTTGTGTTCAGTGCGAGCTACATTGTAAGATTGTAATCGGCTGTATCTTCGGTTACGCGGTGACGGATATTTTTTGATGTGATAAAAACTGACTTCCAAAGAATACTATTACTATTAGCTTCCTCCCGTGACCACGGGCTTTCTATCTTACTTATAATTCAGAGAATTATTTCTGTACACTGTACACTGTACACTGTACGACCGCCCACGTGCAAATAAGGTAAAAAGCAAAAGGTTGCGTAGTTACCATGGTAACGAGGATTGTTACACGCATGTGCACGTGCAATGATTATTTTAACGTCATTTTGATCGGTTTTGTTGATATTACGCTGTGTTTAGTACGAGCAACATTTTAATTGGCTGTATCTTCAGTGGGGATGAATACTTTTTGACACGATTAAAACTGACTGCCAAAGAATACTATTAGCTACCTCCCTGTGACCACGGGTTTTCTAGTCTATATTATAATTCAAAGAATTATCTTTGTACATTGTACAATGTACATTGTACGACCGCCCACGTGCGAATTAGGTAAAAAGCAAAAGGTTGCAAAGTAACCATGGTAACGAGTGTTGTTACACGCCCGTGCACGTGCAAAGATTGTTAGCTAGAACAGCATTTTTATCGGTTTTGTTGATATTATGTTGTATTTAGTCATAGTGCGAGCAACATTTTAATCGGCTGTATCTTCGGTTGCGTAGGATATTTTTTGACGCGATTTAACTACTTACTAACAAAAAGTACTATTAGTATTAGCTACCTCTCTGTGACCACGGGTTTTCTAGTCTCTTACTTATAATTCAGAGAATTATCTTTGTACATTGTATGACCGCCCACGTGCAAATTAGATGAGAAATAGGAATTTGCATAGTAACCATGGTAACGAGGGTTGTTACACGCACGTGCAAAGATTTTTAGTACGGCATTTTTATCGGTTTTGTGGTCATTACGTTGTGCTTAGTGCGAGCTACATTTTAATCGGCTGTATTTTCGGTTGTGACGGATATTTGTTGATGCTATAAAAACTTGCTAACAAAAAATACTATTAGCTTCCTCCCTGTGACCACGGGTTTTCTATCCATATTATAATTCAAAGAATTATTTCTGTATAATAATGTACGACCGCCCACGTGCAAATCAAACAAAAAATATGAATTTGCGTAGTAACCATGGTAACGAGGGTTATTACACGCACGTGCAAAGATTGCCAAGCGACATTTTGATCGATTTTGTGGTAATTACGTTGTGTTCAGTGCGAGCTACATTTTAATCGGCTGTATCTTCGGTTGTGACGGATATTTTTTGATGCGATAAAAACTGACTACCAAAGAATACTATTAGCTTCCTCCCTGTGACAACGGGCTTTCTAGTAATATGTATATATAATTATATTGTATAGAAAATATATATAATATAGCCAATAGTGTAAAATACATATTGTTTAATAATTAACAGTTAATATCTTATATTTTACATTAAATTATATTATATATAGTGCTCGGCTAGTTGACATGGCAACGGACGTAAGGAACACGAAATATTCAGACCTGCCTACCACGATCTCCAAAATCCACTTTTTTCTGCAAAAAATTACCATTCGTAACCTTTCACTTAACATTTTTTCAAAATTGTGAAATGAAAAAAAACCGGAAACGATCGTTCTTTTGAGAAACAGTAATGGTTTCACTTCTTCAGAAGGTCGTCATTCCATTTATGGTCATGAAAGTAAAAAAGTCATTAAAAAAGACAAAAAAGCAAAGTAGGACTAGGAAGAACAAAGGACCTGGTAAAACAATTTTTTGGGAACAACAAGGGACCGTTTTCATTTTCAGAAGTCTCCTCTGCAGCGGGCAGCCACTTTACTGTTACACATGGGCTATTGCGTAGAAATTATTTTAGCGTAAGCTTTTTTCTCCCACTAGGCTGGCGTACATAATATGTAATATGTGAACGATTCCTGCTAGATCTCAATGAAGTATTCTTGTATCCAAATTTGACGCTCTAATGCATCATAGTCGACTATTCAAATTCCAATACAGTGTCGATAATAACGCTTCAAGTATTTTCCAACACATAGAACTTGAACATGGTCTCTCCCTCAATCACGGCCTGCATCGTCAAATTGCGGACGCTGTGGAATGTGGATGCGGATTGTAGATGGGGCAACTATACCGTAGATTACAGGATATATAGCTGCTAATGCCCCGTGCATTATATATATATAATGCACGGGGCATTAGCAGCTACTAACGAACAATAAATTTAAGATAATAGCGTATACCTTATCAAATATGAATATGGATAAGGTCAAATAAGGTCAAATCGTTAATAATCCTTCTTCACTTCAAGTTCAAGTTTTTTTAAATTTTTTTACTGTAGTTTGATAATTTTAGTCAAAATATCATGACTTTAAATGGCCGTTGAGCTTTCATAAAGAAACTTGATAGTTTGATCTACGTTTTATACCTCTTTTCGCGCGCGAAAATATTTTCATCCAGTGCAGCTTTTTTGGATGAGGAAGAACAGCGAGCGTGCTGCCGTGCTAAAAGTAAATCACTTTACAGTTACACCCCCCCCCCTGACAGTTGAAAGCACTTTAAATCGATGTATTTTTGAAAATGAATGCTGATTCCAAATCACCCCACATGACATAGGGTAAATCTGCACTGAGATAATACTACAGACTTTTACAGTTATTGCATCACTTACAAGTACAACTGGTATTAGTATTACATCTGATTTAATTACTATTCAAAAATACATCGATTTAAAGTGCTTTCAACTGTCAGGGGGGGGGTGTAGAGTGATTTACTTTTAGCAAGGGAGCATTATAATATAATGCTCCCTTGGCGAGATATCGTCGTCGAAAAACCGTCTCAATCACGTTATATGTCCATAACTGTAAGGAAGTTGGACTAATTTCTCGTTAGGGTTAGGGATTTAGCGTATGCTTCAGCTTTAGGGATCGGGTGAGGGTTAGGGTTGGGGTCAGTGTAGAGAGGGTTAGGGTTTTGAATAGTCATGATCATTCAGGGCCACCGAGAGAACGTGTTAAAAAGTCACGTGTCAGTCCAGTGCAGAGTGATTAATCATCATCCGAAGAAAATACTGATTCAAGCCATTAGCAAACAATTAATCTTTTTTGGTCCTTTGTGTTTGATTTGAATCAGATAATCTCTAGAGTCTAGATTTTGATAAATCTGAAAGCTTTGTTCTCTTTTTCAAAATTTGATGGTTGCCGGTTGGTAAGAGTCTCAAATAAGGGGCCATCTACTTAGGATCCAGGCTGTTAAATTCGCCAAATTTTTGTAAAAAAGTACGGCGTATTTAGAGTTCTCAAAAAGTACGCGAATAATTCGCCAATTTAAAACTTCAATTTTTAGTTTTTAGGGCTGTTAAATTCGCCAAAAAATGCGCGGAAAATTCGGTAAAAATACGGCTGTGGGAACACGCAGCATTCTCGAGTCTATAATTTTATAATCTAGAATTGGATATGTGAATTTTGACGTTATACTTCAAATCTCAAACTTACAAATCTCGACAAGTAGACTAGACAGAGACTGTGGAGGAAATTAAGTGATCTCAAGTTTATTAAAATAAGTTAGTTTACTCCATAACGTCTTCGGGTATGAGCTAAATTAAACCCCTTGCGATCTTGGTCAGTACCCACGCTAGTCACTAACCAGTAACCACGCACGTGTTGCAGGAAGCACATGTTTTGGCAATATTCCACCATACAAAGCCAACTATCGTGAACATTTTGATGCGGGCACGTGATTCCTGTTCCCGTATTTGGTATATTTTTTTAAATGCGGTAATTTTCAGAGAACAATTCGTAGCGTATGCAAATTTAATTCGAATAGTTATAATACGTTTAGTGCGAATTTAACAGCATTGCAGTTAGGATGTCCGGCAAATAGGGAGGGGGTGGTTTTGGAATTTCGCACAAATCCGGACAAGGAGAGGGGGGGGGGTGGTTTCTGAAAATCCGGACGTCCGGAAATTTTGGCAGAATTAACGAAAAAGTCCCATTTATTTTAACTCTTTGAAATTTCAACTCTTTGAATTTTATTAACAATGAATTTGAGTTGGTTTTATTTGTACTCTTAAAAGTAGCTGGAAATCCGGACGTTCGGGGGAGGGGCCGGGGGTGGTTTTGAAAATTCGGACACACCCGGACAGGGGTGGTCTGAAAATCTGCGATTTTGGCGTACATCCTAAATAGATGACCCCTAATCGATTTGGAGCAAAGCCATTTAAAAGCTAGCATTTATCTTTTGTTCACTATCTTTACAGAGTTCTCTTAGTAGTCTTCACAAAACCTATATTTCATAAAAAGAAAGATATATGCACCAATATATTCTCCAAAACAATGAGAGCCGAACTTTGCAAATGTCTCCCAAATGATGAAGCCTGTAGCGTTTAATTGGTTTTACAGGCCAACGTCGCGACTTCGCGGTGTTCCTCAACATTTAGAAGATGCCAGACTCACTTATTCTTAACGTTTCGAAACCAAAGGTCCGCACTATATGGTGTTACCAGACGTTATTGTTAAGTACAAAGAGGTTAAATGCTACTGCAACGCATTTTATATACGACTATTTACTACGACTATTTAAAGCTCAAATTGTTTGAAATGATATATTCATATTTTGCAATCTTCCTCTATGACTAAGGGAGTGCTAGGAGAGATGATACGAGTGTTACGACTGTGTTTCCTCCTACAACTCCTCCTTGACAGGGGTACCACTTGTGCGACTGAGGTAATAGAGTTCTACAACTTCCTGCAGCTGGCATGTAAAAACACTTCCTCCTTGGTGATGAAATGCCCGTTCTCCAGCGAGACATACTTCCTCAGGACCACGTACCTGGGACGATTGAGGCAGGTGATAGTTAATGGAACCTGCTCCAATGACCCCATCTCCTACCAGGCTTGTGGACTGAGGGGATACTCTGATTTCCTTAACTTCCGGAAAGCCACTGACTCGTTCTATCAGGAAGAACGCAGGACTTTCTGCGGGTTCGTGTGTGAAACAATGAAGCAGGGCATGCTGGCGCCTGGTAACATCTGGTACATCCCCAATTCAGGAAAGTTTGGCATGAACTCAGACACAATGAATATTAAAGCGACCTGGTTAGAATTCTGCGATGGGACGGAGGACTGCAAAAACACTGAAATAGACGAGGAAGGCTGTTTTGACGACATGTATACTATGAGGACGGGCGGAGAGCTTGAGGCGAGTAAGATCTGTGACGGCGATTGTGAAAGAGTCACGTTCTTTGATAACAGTGACTACTGTGAAGATGAGGCTTATTGTAACGGATTCACGTACGGGATTTATTGTGATGCCGATACCAGGTATATTTCACCCATGGACATGAGATGTAATCAGTTGTCCTGTGATGAAGAGAGTACTGGGGTGAGTCTGTGTGATCAAGAGAACGTTACAGCCTGTACTAGGGGAGGTTTGGTGGTTCCCCTTCTCAACTCAACTCGCTGCTTTACCTTCTCAGACACACCAATGTGTGATAATGGGCTGGATCAGACCAACTGTTCAGACCCCTCCAGAGTAGTCCTCAGTTGTGAAATTAACGGCTACATTTCCACAGTATCCAGAACTGCGGTGTGTACCAAACAGAGCAGGTTTCTCCCTCAACTCTGTGATAATGGACTAGACAAGCTATGTGTGGAGACGAGTATATTCTGTTTGGTACACAAACACCAGCTGTGTGACGGAAGAGTGGACTGTCCTGATAAAACTGATGAATTGGGAGCTCCTTGTCTAAAGAGAACCGTCTACACCTGCACCAGACCCTTCAGTTTGGATACTAGTTCAATAAATGTAGTGAACTTTCCTCTGGTGTGGGTTAATGATGGCGTGGAAGACTGTCAGGGTAGTGAGGACGAGAATGAACAGTGGCCTACTTGTGGAACCGGCATCACCATGAGGTACAGGGGGATAGAAGAGATGTGCAGTGAAGTGTATCTCTGTGCTTCAGGCTCATTTGTAGAGTTACCAAGTTTGTGCGACAAAGTGGAGACGTGTGGTAACGAGATCAGGGTGTGTCAGATCTCCAGTAACACGGTTAGCACTTCTAACAGAGTGGTCGCAATTGAAGGATCCATCACCACTCCTAAAGTTGTTATCTTCCCAAGTTGCCTGGATGGTCTCATGGAAATCGAAAGGTTCCAAAACTCACTTTGTAGAAGAGTACCATTCAAGCTTAAGAACTATGAGTTCTTGGGTAAAACTAGTTCAACAGAAGTAGCAGCTCCCGGGAGAAGGCTCAGCTGCGACTATATGTTTGGTGAAGCATATGTTTATCTGAGCTGTACTGGTCAGTGTATCAACTCTAGCTGTCCTCTTACTAAACCAGTGCAGCACAGCTCCTGTGCCAACCAGTTCCCCGGTAGGATCTACTCTCTCAGGAATAACGCTGACATCACCTTCGCAGTTAGATCCAGAGACCATCTCTATCACAACGACTTCTTTGTGTGTGATAACAGCAACTGCGTTCCTTTTGAACATGTATGTAACCTGGTCGACAATTGCGGAGATGGTTCGGATGAGAGACAATGTACCAACAATTTCCTCTGCGTCTCTCAGGACTATCTTGCTCTGTCCCAGAAATGTGACGGTAGTATCGACTGTCCGGACACGTCTGACGAGTGTAATGATGAGTGTGGGAGACAGATCATCAACACGATTTATTTAAAGATCACTGCAGCGGTGATCGGAATACTAGCCATGGCTCTAAACTTTGTTGCTATGTCACAGTCACTGTTTGGAAAATGGGAGAGTAAACATGTAAATTCGGTGACAAACAAGGTTTTTATTGTGCTGATAGGATTGGGAGACCTCCTGACAGGGGTGTACTTGGTTATTTTGTCTGGACTTGACATTTATTACGGGGAGACGTTCTGCATATTTCAGATAGAGTGGTTGACCAGCAAAGTCTGCAGCCTGATAGGGGTGGGCAACACTATAGGTTCCCAGATTTCACTTTTTTCCATGACAGCATTGAGTATTATCCGCTACCGCTCTATTAACTCTTTTACAGCTCCTAGAAATGTGAGTTGTAGATTCTGGGTTAAGATTTCTCTGATCTGCACGTTGATATTTTTGGCATCAGTAACCATAGCGGTCCTGCCTCTTCTCCCAGTCATGGAGGATTTCTTTGTGAATGGACTGGTGTATGACCAACACATCCGACTTTTTGTTGGAAGTAAAAGTAAAATCGCCCATTTCAGTATCTTCCAGGAATACTTTGGTCGAATGAACAAGAAGGTATTGAAGTGGTCGGTGATAAACGAACTAGTGGACGCAATGTTCTCACGAGATCATGGTGGGATAAGGAGACATCCCCTTAGATTCTACGGAAATGACCCAGTATGTCTGTTCAAATATTTCGTAACTAACGAGGACCCTCAGCGAGTCTTTGTCTGGTCAGTCTTACTACTGAACTTTATTTGCATCTTCACAATAACCTGCTCTTATGTCCTGATAAACTTAATAACTGTATCCTCTTCGAACCTAGTTGCCGATGATAGGTCTAAGAAGTGTCTCCGCAAACAACACCGGAAAATGCAGAGGAAGATTGCGAAATTAATAACGACTGATCTTGTGTGCTGGTGTCCTTTCTTAGCTATTTGCATTCTACACTCCTTTGAAGTTCTAGATGCCACTCCAATGTACTCTTATTTTTCAATACTTGTTTTGCCCATAAACTCTGCCATCAATCCGGTGCTTTACAATGAGATTGTAAATTCGTCGATTCACGAAGCGGTTAAAAAAATAAAAAAAAACTTTTAATAAAACCTTAAATTCTGTAAGCGTACTTGTACGAAGGGGAAGGCAGGGTCAGGATGCTACTGTGGAAACTATAGAAATGGATGTTATGAGTTCAAGTAAGGTAAATAAACCAATGCTTAATCTCTTTAAGTCATTATATTTCATAAAATCACCTAATCACTCACTAATTTCGTTACGATAGGTTATAATGAACACTACTAACGTTTAATACTAACCAGCTTAGAAATCGAACCTGACCTTACTTTCACTTAAGTACAACTGTATAACAACTTCACCCCCTCAGGTCAGAACTAGCAAAGAGTGCGATGGACCGTCTGCAGTCTCCTGAGCACGACAGTAACGACGTCTCCCCCGACCTGCCCTCATTGTCAGTACATAAATTTATAACTACCGCCGGGATTTTAGTTATCCCAGCTTCTTCTTCTTATTTGATACAAGAGAAACGAGGCTACTCTAGGACACGAAGAGGATTAGCACTCTTCGAACTAGATTAAGTACACTCCTACCGTTAAACTGCATTTATATCTTTAAGAGAAAAGGAAATTGTTTTTTTGTCCGGGCTTAACCCAAAAAAGCCCGGTTTTTAGGACTAGGTCTCTCGATTATTCATCATTATTTGACTTTATGGTTTGTAACGGAGAATGTATGTTTACAGTGCTTTGGGTTTTTTGGACAGTATTCAAGAAGCGCGACACGATAGTGACATTACCTCATCGTGTCGGTATTTTTGGTACTGTAATTTTATTTGCTTCATGTTATTGTTGGTCCAATCGACACCATTTACAGGACCCCAGACTATTTGGGACCTGACAGAGCAGAAAAAGAAGTTCAGCAAAGGTGAAATAATATCTTATAATCATATAGTAAGGCCGAGTTTTAGCATTGTAGTGGTTTAATAGTTAGTAGGGAGCATTACGGCAGACAAAGTCTGTCGAGAGCCGTATATGATGCTCCCTTCTAACCACTACAAAATAATATCTAGAAGAGTTTTTAAACTTGAAGTTTTACAGAGACACGGTTTTAACCAATTTCCCCTCAGCGGTGTCCTGAGTCCGGTTGCTGTTCCCAGAATAATTGACAGATCGGAGCCCTGGGACACGAAAGACCTGGAGAGTTGGCTGAATACGACCACAGGAAGCACCATTCTAGGAGAATCGTGGGATAGGGTCTACAGAAAACGAATGATCACCAGACAGGTATAAGATTGGGATGATCAACACTTTATCGTATTGAAATGGTTACGTGAAAGTTAACATCTCCACTTTCTGTTATCTCCCCCGTCAACTATAAGCTACTACACTGATCTCTTTTGCAACTCAGGAGAGACGGCATGCTGTAGGAACTACAGACACGAAACTAGCTCTCAGATTTGGACACCACTGCTCACCTTTTGCTGCACTGGCAACACCGGTATTGTGATAACGTTTCGAGCGTGCTCAATCAAACAATTATCTGACCATTTGTGGTGTTTTAGGATCGAAAATACTTACAAACGATTATGTAAGAATTATACTTATAGCAGTTCAGAATCTAAGCGAACTCTCTCCCAGGTCATGACAGATGTTGCAATACCAAAAGATCTGCCAAAGACTCCCCGAATGTTGACCAACAACTACGGATTTGAACCAGCTTCTGACAATCCCAAAAAGCTGACTATCCGCTTCACTCCTGATCCGATTGTTCAAGCGGTAGCGAAGAAGTCCATGACCCACAATCAGTCGCGACCTAATTCGACAGTGGGACTGTTAAAATAGTTCTTATTAAACTAAAAACATCCGTCCGAAGATGAAATTAAGTGAACAGGAGAAAGCATGTTCGCGCTAAAATACCTTCCAGCTCAGAGACCTTGACTGATTTAAGAAATAATACTCTTTGCAGTTTTTTGCTTTACATAAAACCAGTTTTTTAGATTATGGTACTTTCACTGTACTTTGCTGTTGAAAAGATTTGTATGCAGTTGCCTTGTAATTTAAATTTTATATATCTGTACAGAATTCAAGAACACATTTTTCGTTATTGTTAAACAAAAAAGCTAAAGTACAGATATTTGATTGTAGGGATAAAAGAGAAAATGACATAAAATACACATCAAACAATCATAAAAAATAGTGTTTAAATGCCACACATTTCCTTGCTCTTTATTTACAAACGTGATCAAAATAACAATTCTGTTAAAACAAGTTGATAATGGTATCTACTCTCTTATAATCGTGATCTGATTTTAGTGACGTTATTAACAGGATTCTGAGACCATGAGAATGCAGCCCCTAGAAACTTGAATCTATATTTATTTGTAGATAGATAATGGACTAAATATTTTAGAGAGTGCTTACATAAAATCAAATGATAATAATAAGGGGACATACTTTTCATCAAACACATCTTCTATAAAAAATCAATTAAAGACCCGTATCAGTCACCCTTTTAAAAATACTGCATTGAATCGAAATATTATGTATACAAATTCACGAATAAACACAGACGTCCAACGAATCTACCGATTCAAAATGTGAAAAAGTCCATGTCATTACAGTTTTTTAATCAAGTTGGACGTATGAGGAGGGGAACATCCCTTTGTTCCCATCGCTAATCCCAATCCACCAGCCCTCGTCAATAATCTCGATATTTGTCACTCTTCCACTTTCTGTCAAGCTTGTTTCGTCTTCAGCAGCTGCGGTAAGAGAGATTATCAAATATCACTGGACACTCAACACTGTTATTTGTACTCATGTTTACATTTCGAATTAATTTAACCACGCGGCAAAACATTCTCTTGATTAGCAAAAAAACAAATCTAGCGTTATAAAATTTGATACGTACGTGTCACAGATACTCATAAACACTCTCATTGTATTCGGCGTCTGCGCGTGCCGTCTATGTATCAAGGAAGCAGAATACGATATAGTTGTACTTTCATTTGCATGATGTACAAGCGACAAACTGAAGGAAGAGTCGCAATTCAATATCGGTAGCGCATGGCATTTGAGTACAACATACCTGCTTCATAGTCATATATTGCAGTGCCGCATTTTCCTAGGTCTTCCTGTACATCACTTAGTTGAACATATGCTTTAGGAAATATTCCTCTCTTTCCTCGACAAATTCCTATCCACCATCCCGGATCTGGCATCTCAATATTGGTAATCTCCTCTCCTTCCGCAAACGAGATCTCGTCGGAATCCGCTGATGAAATAAGCAATCAAAATATTAGTCATCAACATGTTTAAATAAAAAGATCAAGCAAGACGCAAGATCGAAAATACACAAGATCGAAAATACACAAGATCGCGATCCGTTAACTGTAACTCGATCTGAGTGATCATAACTAAAACAACACTAAAAGACTAAAGAAAAATGCATATATGAGTAAGATGAAAAATAAAACACAAACCTGCATCGTAATCGTAGACAGCAGTCCCACTCAGCCCCTTATCTAGGGGCGCAAGAGAAGGTTCCGGTTGTGGTTGTGGTGTAGGTTGTGATTGGGAAATGGTGCGAGTAGGTTTACTTGGGGACACGTCCTCTACCATCTCTACATAGCCAATAGGGAACATTCCAGATTTGCTGTTAAGTGAGCCAGTTGCCCAGCCATCATCAATCATCTCTATCTGCGTGATAAGATCTCCCATTGAGAAGGACACTTCATCATCATCTCCTGCAAAATTGGGTCCTTTTGTGATTGGGTGTATTATCTAGCAGAAAAATATGTATTCGTATGAGTACAAGACTTCATTGCAATTAAGTACATAAGCGACATAAAATCAGAAGATACTGTCTGCCATACTCATTACTCATAGAGTTGGGCGAACTCTATTCACAGGTTAGTCAGGCAGTGGCTCACACTCTGATGATATCTCAACTTTACTTAGTTGAGTGTGTCCCACAACTAAGCACTTTGCCTAGAAGGCCGGCTTTATGTATTATAATGATCCTGGACCTAAGTGGCGAGTAGCTCTAAGTCAAGAAAAAAAAAACATAAGCGGCACCATTAATTTAACTTACATGATTCAGGAATTTTAGTGAAGTTATTGACATAAAAACCTGCTACATAATCGTAGATAGCTTTAGCCTGCTTTCCCCCACTTTTAGGGCTAACTTGTTGTTGTTGTTGTTGTTGTGCAGCTAGTTCTGCTGCTATTCTGTTTTCTTCCGCAACTCTTCTCTCTTCTGCTATTCTGTTTTCTTCCGCAACTCTTCTCTCTTCTGATATTCTCTTCTCTTGTGCAATTCTTCTCTCTTCTGATATTCTCTTCTCTTCTGCAATTCTTCTTTCCTCATCTCTCCTTCTTTCTTCAGCGATTCTGTCTTCCTCTACCCTCCTTCTCTCTTCGTCCCCCCTATTTCTTTCGTCTTCTCGTAGTTGTTCCTCAGCTCTTCGTTTCTCTTCTTCCCGACCACGCTGTATCTCTAATCTTCTTTCTTCTTCCTCACGACGTTTTTGTTCGAAAGCTTGTTCTTCTCGAGACCTATTTTCGTCCTCGATTCTCCTCTGCTCCTCTGCTGCTGATCGTTGCTCTTCAAGTTTTTGTTGCTCTCTTTCTGCGCCTAGTCGGTTAGCTTCAGCCTCCCTTCTCTCCTCTTCCCCTCTTCTTCTTTCTTCACCTTCTCTTCTCGCTTCTTCTTCCTTTGCTCTCTGTGCTTCTGCTGCAGCCTCCTGCTTTTTCGATGCCTCAACTCCCCGTTTAAACTCAGCATCTCTCTTCCTTTTCTCTTCCTCGACTTTCCGTTTATTTTCCTCCTCTGCAGCTGCCCCGAAGTTTTCGAATCTTGAACGGAAGTTTTTAACATCTCCCTCTGAAAAATTATTGTCAAATTATACAAACCACATGATTTTTTGCAGACATGAACTAACTTGCAAAGGTATTATCGTGGTATTTCTGGAAACAAAGAGGTAAATGTTTTCTTGAATAAATTTCTATTGATCCCGTTGTAGAACGTTGTAACAACAAAATACTAATTTTCAAACAATGAGTTCGTTACTTACTGACATCAACTTTTGTTTGGTACTGAGCAGAAGTGTCGGTTCTCTCTCCAAAGCTATGTGCGGACTGAAACAATGCAAAAGATAAGACAAAGAACAAGACGTGAGGTATTCGTTTGAGAATTTACAAAGTCACGTTATTTTGTAAACAGTTTGCAATTTCTTTCACTGTACCTTATCTACTCTGTCTTTCTGTACTCCGAACTTTCCCCCGAATCCTTTAGCAGCGTCAGTTTGTGAGCCGTGTTTACTTAACTCGGTCTGGTGCTCGTAACCTACTGAACTCTGAAATACAAAGATTCGGTTGATTTATGAACAGATTTTAAGTTGGTAGACCTACTAAGGAATGGGACCAAAAGCAACTGATAGATATCACTCCCCTCTATTAGGGAAAAAAACCTCCATTTTGAGAAAATGTTCACGAAGACCTCGACCCCCCCCCCCCCCCCCCTTAATAAAGGAGTCACTTGTTAAATAAATGTATTGACTAGAGTCATAGTTTGTAACCAAGACCACAGACAAAGCCATCCACCAGAATATAGTACGTAGTAAGAACAAGTAGTGCAGACGAAATGTTACTTACGTAGGTAATAGGTAAGCACATGAGATTGTGTGTCACATATTCCTCATCAGATCACTTCAATATTATAATCAGAGACATTAATCTCTACTTGAACCAACTTATCACGTAAACGATAATATTGCAAAGTGTATCTGGGTAGACATAATAACTTAACGTCTCCCTCCCACGTCTAACATTTCATGCGGCTTGCTGGACGTTGCTCTTATTGCTCTAGTTCAACTATAACTTACACTCGATACAACTTGTTGTTTACACTTTCATTTGCACTAGAGTTTGTACTAGGCAGGTTGTCACTCGTGTATATATTAAGAGTACATGTCATCACCTCAAGTACTAATTACTAATTATACGTGTACACATTATTATCATTTCAAGACTAACGAGATTTGATAATTTGCAACAAGAGCTGATCTTCAACAAATGAGTGGGGAATTACAATAATATTTATCTAGATTAGTTTTACCCCATTTATGAGATCCTGCACCTGAACGTTATATAATGAGAATAATCTCATGTATAATCCTATGTATTTATATTATAAAATTCTATTCATTGTTGTAAATACTCACCTTGTCGACCCTGTCTTTCTGTACTCCGAACTTTCCTCCAAATCCTTTAGAAGAGTCAGTAACAGAGGAGTGCTTACTTATCTCTGATTGGTGGTCGTAACCTACTGAACTCTGAAAACACCAGGCATAAGAGACCATCAAATTAGCCAGGGAACTTCTCATCGCCGTGATTTAAATAAATGCGCAAATCTTCTTGCTTTTGAGGTTGAATCATTACCTAATTAAAAAACAAAGCACGAAATTAGGCAGTCCGCTTCGGTTAAGATAATTATGGTAAACTCAAATAGTATCCTCATCTATGTTGGGATTTAATTGCAGGAACGTTTAAATGAGTCCATAAAATGCAAATCTGAGATATTATATAATGAGTTATTCATGTTAAATTAGATAGTCTATCTACCAACCAAGCACAGTGACACAAGCATAGTGGTTACATTTAGTTCATTATTAAACATTGCTTTATTTGTTATAGTATGGGCACAATTTGAACAATATTGACCACTTGTCTTGCGGATACAAAGAAGCCAAGTACCTATCATTCTATCAAGTACCATAAATTTGTCGTGGTTTATAATGATCACGTGACGTGACGTCAGGTTCCAATTCTCAGAACAAGTCGCCATATTAAAAGAATATACCTAGCACTAGATCCTACTAGTGCTACTTGTGCTCCGTAGCGAGCAGTGGTACCTCAGTACTAGATCCTAGTAGTGCTACTTGTGCTCCGTAGCGAGCAGTGGTACCTCAGTACTAGATCCTAGTAGTGCTACTTGTGCTCGTAGCGAGCAGTGGTACCTCAGTACTAGATCCTAGTAGTGCTACTTGTGCTCGTAGCGAGCAGTGGTACCTCAGTACTAGATCCTAGTAGTGCTACTTGTGCTCCGTAGCGAGCAGTGGTACCTCAGTACTAGATCCTAGTAGTGCTACTTGTGCTTCGTAGCGAGCAGTGGTACCTCAGTACTAGATCCTAGTAGTGCTACTTGTGCTCCGTAGCGAGCAGTGGTACCTCAATACTAGATCCTAGTAGTGCTACTTGTGCTCCGTAGCGAGCAGTGGTACCTCAGTACACTAGATTAATCTCATGTATTGAAATACATACAGTGTAGTTGTGTACTGTCAGCACTGATATGTTCTACCAATATGGGCCAAGTTTCTGTGAATTGTCATGCTCATTTGTTTTTAGTAAGCAAGTTTTCAAGATGTTTCCATTTGAAAATGATATTTACAGAGGTAAGGTAAACAAATGTTCTGAGACAAATTTTACTGAAAAAAGGCCTGAAGTTGCGGGGGAGTTTTCTACAAACAATATTTTAGATATTTCTCATTTGACTGATGTTTTTTGTTTCATCATATTGATTCTATAATATTGTTGGTTTAAACCATCAAGCGCAGAACACTTCCGGCTCACGTATATTATATAGGCCCCGATTAACAAAGAAACAAGTCTATTTCTTTATTCCTCCTACTCCTCTCTAAAAGACTAGTTTATTGTTGTGAAGACTCACCTTGTCTTGCCTGTCTTTCTGTACTCCGAACTTTCCCCCGAATCCTTTAGCAGCGTCACTTTGTGAGCCGTGTTTACTTAGCTCGGCCTGGTGCTCGTAACCAACTGAACTCTGAAACGAAGAGATAAGCACTCTATTGGGCAATAAAAATAAGAAAACGGCGCTTTTTCTCTTTTTAACTGAATACTTTGACCAAGAATTTAACCGTTTATTTTTATATTTTATTTTTAACACTATCTTTCATTATAATTGGGGAAAAAACAATAATTTGATAACCATAAATCAGGGAAGAGTTGTAGGGCATGCTGGCAGTTATTTGAACTGCTCATTTATTAGACTGGTAGTGAGAGCTGTAAGGTATCGGGAACTTTGTATTTTCGCGAACTAGTGGAGAGTTTACTGAGCACCAGGACAGGCTCTTACAGCCAGTTTCCCAGCGCGGTAGTGTCAGAGTTATCATCACCAATATTGAAACGGCTTTCAGGAATCAGTTTAGACACAAATCTAGTCGGTCAGGTTTCAGAGCACAGCTTCGAAACTCTAACTTTGGTGGTAAAATACCCTTGTTTTGTAAAGGTCTATTCTTTATCTCACCTTTAGAAACCTTTCAAGGTTGACTTACAATTAATTTCTTTCGTTTATGTTGGTTTTATTTAAAAATGAGAACCCCTCCCGATTTCGAGCAGATTTAACCTTTGTCTTTGAACATTCAGTTTTCCCGCAAATCGCCGTTTGCTAAATTATAGTTCAATTATAACGAGATTTCGACATTGACCCACCAATCACCATGTCTCATTTAAATCACTAAATCGCAGTTTAACACTTAACTCTCCTTGTAAATAAAGCGTTTGTTATCAGTTATTTATATATTATCCGCTTATATTGATGATAAAACAGTTTGGACCTCCCGATGCAAAGTCTAGCCGATTTAACCTTTGCTCATAGTGTTTGTCTTTGAACATTTCCCGCAAATCGCCGTTTATTCTATTATATCTAAATTATAACGAGAGCATTGCCACACTATGTGATATGTCTCAACTCTCATAAGCGGGTTAACTTTTTGTAAATAAAGAATTTATCTATTTATTTTCATATTACCTTGTCGACCCTGTCTTTCTGTACTCCGAACTTTCCTCCAAATCCTTTAGAAGAGTCAGTAACAGAGGAGTGCTTACTTATCTCTGATTGGTGGTCGTAACCTACTGAACTCTGAGGAAATATTTTACTTAATATTAAGTAATATTAACTGTGTTTTAGTCGAAAATATGATTACATTATGAATCATTTTGACGAACGTTGTCACACTGTTGATTATGCTAGGGAATATACAAGGTTCGACCGTATAAGTACATCGTCTCGCTTTATATAATATAGTAAGATACGATATCCGAGCCTCGACTTGAAAAATCGCAATCGAAAATTTGCTATCCTTTTTGCCGTAATTATTGTCTTTGAAAATCATGTCTTTGGCCACAAAAGTACCATTGCCGAAGCATAGAGCTGGGGATAATTTTCCAAGAAACGTTCTTGGATGAAAATTGTTCCCAATTTTCGACTAACCATTACTTTTAGATTTTTTGAAAAATAGATTATCATGATCGTAAGTTATATGAAGAAGCCACTATTATAGTATTACGAAAATTACTGAGACATTACTGTACAGTGTACAAGTTCGGCTCTTTGTGGGTGACAAATAGTAACGTTACGCTACAAGCACTCGTAGATAACAACGTCTTGGTTGATGCGGCTAGTGACCATTATTCAACATTTGCTAGATGTGACCACTGACCACGTGCCATACCTTCGTCTCAGACAATTAATAAAACAATTATTTTAAATATGAAAGGTTATTTTCATCTATAAAACAGACCTATGAATGCAATTGACCACTCAAATCATGAAGTTTTTCACTTGAATAGTTTCCACTTTGGTTTTATTTCAATATTTCTTAATAATTATCTTGAAAGCTTTGTTCGAGGAAATTTTAAAAATCAGTGAAGTTTTAATTTCTCTTCATCTAGCTCCGAATATATTTGAAGGACCCCTGGTTACTTTTTAATTTAACCATACTTCAATATTCCGTGATGTAAAAGAAAACTTTCGAATATCTCATAAACGGAAATATCTTGCCAGACCTTTGCTTGCATGCGAACATGGAACAAATATTTTGCAATTCTCACCTTGTCTTGCCTGTCTTTCTGTACTCCGAACTTTCCCCCGAATCCTTTAGCAGCGTCAGTTTGTGAGCCGTGTTTACTTAGCTCGGCCTGGTGCTCGTAACCTACCGCACTCTACATAAGAAAGAAGATTTATTGAACTTGTTGTTACGACCGAATATTTTTCAAAACTTAGGAAGGAGCGAATTAAGTTTGTTTTGGATTGCTTAACTTTTACAAGGACTACTGAATAACAATTATATTTTGACCGATAATTGATCACAAAATGAGCACAGAAATCGAAACGTACAATAGTTTATTAATCATTGAAATTCTATAGATAGTGTTCTTCGTTACAAATTGATCACTGACTCTTTAGTCTTTACGGTGCAAGACCATGCATATGCAATATGCATAGTTATACTAAGACTTTCTTTCTTCAAATTAATTTACAAGACTTAATCGAAATATCAAATAACATACAATATGTTAACAATAATCATTGTGTTTTGGAATATTATAACAAATCATAATGGTGTACGGGTAAACCGCCCCTAAAATGTCACCCACCCCTAAAACGCCACTCTTGATTAATTGGATCCCATCTTCTTAGAAGGTATCTTACCTAATCATTTGTAACTCCTAAACATAAAAAAATATCATTCAGACCCTGCCTCATCCTGAAATTGAATCTAAATGATGCCATAAGGGCATTTTTTTCACTTTGTACGAATTTTTTACTTTTGAAAAAAAGCGCACAATTTTATAACTCTGGAATTCATTAATATTAACTCGGTTTTGGTCTAGGATAGTGATATTTACTTATTTTAGCAACTTTGTACATATGACTGGAGATATGGAAAGTTATACATTACTCAATATTACTACCCTCCCCTAAAATGTCAGCTGGCCGCCCCCTAAAATGTCATTTTATCAGATTCTGGCTTTGAGACTACAATTCAAGCACCATAAAATGGAGGTACCAGCCTATTAAACATCATATTTAGCATCTAATGGTAATATTGGAAAGCTTTGGCAGCTCAAGGAATTAGTTTTATTTTATTAATTGCAATAAACATCCCCTAAAATGTCTAATTATCCCCCCTAAAATGTCATTTTAACCTGATCAAATTACTCAGGCTTTTCCTAAGATGCAATGCATACTCACATTTCGTTAATAGTTGATGTTATTAATTAACAAGTGCCAAAACAAGAGCTACTATCGCACACCATGCGAACAAAATACAAATTTGACATTTTAGGGGAGAAAAAAATGACATTTTAGGGGGCATATCATAGGTTTACCATAAACTAGTAAGTACCAAAAACCGTAGTTTTTGACATTCAATTTTGCTAAAAGCAGTCAAATCTAGTCTATAGAGAAGGTCAGATCGATTACTGGGTTGGCTTAGTTAACTACAGGTCACTAAAATTGCCAAAATGCAGGATGATGTTAAAAATCCCAAAAAATGCATTTAAAACATGCAATTTGCACAAGGTTAAAATCACATTGAATCCATTTCTTTTGTGCCAATTGTTAGTTTATAACTAGATAATCTAACTACAGGTGTAAATTTTGTTGACTGAGTTACTGTTTTGCCGTAAATTCTGGGTATTCAAAAAAAAGTCCCCAAAATGTCGCAAAAAGTAAATTGACTAAATTCCACCATTTTTTTTCAACAGAGAGAGAAATTCTGGTCGACACCTCTCAGAAATAGGTTATATTTGTCCCAGAAGTGGTTAAAATTAATAATTGAGCACTATTCTGAGTGCTACACAACCTGTTTTAGCTGACGTTTTAGGGGTGGTGCACGTGACATTTTAGGGGGTGATTACGGTTTTGAGGTACTTCCTTTAGTGAGTGAATGTTTTCAAGTAGCTTAATATTTTTATAAGACAAAACAAATAATACTAGTGACAAAAGATAAATCAGGCCTCCTGTACATTCTGTAATTATCACACATATAGAGTTGACATTTTAGGGGTGGTGTTTTAAAAGTGACTCCATTTCAACGTCAAAAAAATTGTACCTGATTTTATTTTCAAATTTCCAAATCTTCATGGCAGGCTAGAAAAAGGTTTAAATATTATTCCTAGACACTTCAGAACCCTGTAAATTTAGCCCTTACTCGGCAATCTGGGCCAAAAAAACAGGTGACGTTTTAGGGGCGGTTTACCCGTACATTAAGATGTTGGTTTTCATTTGAACGAGCATGAGATAATGATTAATAAAAGTTTAATTATAATAATACCATTATTCGACATAAGCAGTTACATAAAAATTAGGAAGTTAGAAACACTAAGACTTTACACAGTAGACCTACAGAATCCTTATTGTCCTTCAAAACACCGTACTTTCCACCGAATCCTTTAGAAGAGTCAGTGACAGAGGAATGTTCCTTCAGTTCCTCGACATGTGAGTAGGCAACAGCACTCTAGTGTACAAATACATTTCATATACATTTAATATACATTTAAATACATTGAGACATTGTACCACTATTACTACTACATTGTACACCTATCATACTAGTGTTTATGACACGTCGATCGTCATGTGTTGTTGCAATGTGGACAGGGAGGTGTGGTTTAATATATCGTGAAAAAAGTAGTTACATCATAATAATGTATTGTAAAACATATTTAGCTGTACTGCAAGGAGTAAACAAGAGATTATAAGATTATAAGATAAGGTTCAACTAGGATATTATAACAGTTTCTAATGTTGCTCTCTAATTAATCTCATCTCTATTATCTCCGTAATTTATCTGATTACAAAAGATATAATTAGCAGTTAAAGTTTTTCCCTGGTTAAGTTTTTGTTGTTTAGTGAACTGTGAAGCGTCGTTTTTACTTGCTTATAACTTTTATTTAATGATGTCTAATAATTAAACGAATAGAAATGGAGCCCTAAAGGTCTCTTTCTAGGGGCTGTAGCAACGTATACTGAGTAATTTATGTACTTAAAAATAAACAAACATAGGTTAAGAAAGACAGTTATAAGTTTATAATAATAACAATAAGTTACCTTGTCCATTCGCTCTTTGTGTACTCCAAACTTTCCTCCGTATCCATCTGAACCTTTGGGTCTATAATTCAGTTAAGGAAATCAGCTTTACTTTTATCGGGGTCAATGATTCACTGTTGGAACAGTAATTGTTGAATGATTAAACTCTAATGAGAGAGGAAATACCAACTTTCAGCACTCGTAAGTAATCTGATGGTCAGTTTTGTTCATAAAGAACAATTGATCGTACAAATTGTTATTGAAGCTTAGCTGGACGTTGTATACTATTGTATAGATTCAATATCAACAATTATCTTAGAACAAAGGCTGGTTTACACTCCTAGTTTATTATAAGTTGTTCATTACAAGAACTTCTTTTGTTCATGCAGCTAACCAGTGTCCTCTCTGTGTTATTGACAATTTAACCATATAAACCATGAACTAATAAAGGTTACCCACGTTTACAATTAATTTGCGGATGTTCAGATTAAAATTAGGACACAATTACGCATTAGTACACCTCTTATTTACATTGTTTTGCATTGTGGCACCAGTTACCGCTGTTTTTAATAACTGGACAGAAATTCGGCGATTTGGTAGATCATTGTGTCACAAACTGGTCTGCATTATAGTTAATAGTTTAACCAATGCTCTTACTTATTAACCATCACTTCGCAGCTGCCACTCGGTTCCTATAAATTATTTTCGATTATAATCGCATTAGTCGTTTGCCGCTTTAGCTATATTATACAGAGATCAGTATGCAGATATACAAATCTTAATATGATCATCCTGTCAGTGTCATTTGCTTTGCCCTGTTTTGCATGCTCTTGATACTCTCCCTTTCTCAGATTATAAGATTGCTGCTAAAACTGAAGTGTGCCGGAACTTTCTCAGAAGACTTATTTTAATCTAAGTAAATTAATTACTGTCATTGTTCTGTTTATTGTTTAATAATAGCATAATAATATTATAATTACATCAGCCATAATTTTATGCAATGGATATTATAATTTCTTAATTGTTATAATGCTCTATTGAGGTTTGTCTTGTTTTTATACAGACAGTTGTAGTAATTACTACGCTTCAATGGAGCTTCCTGGCTTAAATTAATGCCGGAAACTATCGATTATAAAATAAAGATAAGAGAGAAAGATGTTTAGAATAAAATTTTACTTGCGTTGAATTAAGAGCGTCTGTCACGATCATCTCCATACAACCTTCATCTTTACCAAGCAAATTAGTTTGCCAAAATAACCTTGTGAAAAATGTAAGACTTGATGATGTGCAAGTCGGTGCCCCAAATTTTCAGACGATAAACCTCATTGCTATCTTAGGAATCAGCAAGGATATTTTCTTCAATGCCGTACAATGTACAAGATCACTCCTGTTTTGGAGAAAATGTAACTGAAACCTGTGACTTCAGACATGTCAATGTGAGTAGAGTTCATTACGTTTGACATTTTAGAGCACTTTATTACTTTATAGTACATAAATTTGTTGCAAGTGTATAATCGATCTGTCTTCTTTAAGAATACTTACAAGACCTTATATTGAATATTGGTTTTAGTTAACTTGACATTCCAACTGAACAGGGCGGAGTATTGACTGGAATTAGTGTAATAGGTTTTGTTCTAAATGCTGCAGAGATATACGTCTTGAGCTACATGGTGGCTCTGTCCCAAACTCAGGTAATATTTGAAAATACCGTATTCATTATAAACACAATCACTTATTGGCAATCAAAACCATTAACCTTTTATTACAAAATTTCTATTCCGAACAAATTTCAAATATTTCTTCTATACATATACATGTATACTGATATAGGAATGCAGCTAAATCTTGGATATTTCTCAGAAAATATTTCTCCTCAATGTGGCTGTAAATGATCTACTCATGTCGCTTGTTGGCATGTTCAGAGGTCTCGGCATTATAAGTTCTATCTTCCTGGACAATTCGGAGGACGAGGTGAACGCTTTCTGTCCTACTTATGCAATCTTCATGAATTCAGTGACGTGAGTTAAACTGTAAGGCACACATTTCTGAGTGAAGATATTTACTTAACTTTCATAAAATATAATATTTTTTGCATGACAGATGACAGTATTCAGACACTCCGCTTTCGATGTACCAGGTCTCGAATATTGTATAGTTCAAATATTGTATAAAAGTATAAAGTGATGGCTTCATGAAACTATTTAAGATATTTCCTTCCTGCAGATCTGCGTGTATGCTTGTTCTCCTACCACTAACAATTGATCGCTTCCTGGCAATAGTGTTCCCCCTGCATCACAGATACCTAATCACTAACGAGAGAAGCAAAGCCCTTGTCATGGCGACATGGGTGCTTCCCATGTTCTTACTAATTTTTGACACTGTCACTTTTCTGATAGGACAGAAAAAGGTAACCGTCTATTTTAATTCAGTAATTCAACGATATTTTCATCTAGCCCAACTAGCAGAAGTTGTTCTGCTAACAAAATATGAAATTTTAGCAAATTAAGGTTATAAAATTAACAATTAAAATATTTTTCCATTTCAGATTGTCTTCAACCCAAAATATCACCGCTGTGTGAGCAAAGACAAGGTGGAATCTGCCATAGTACAGATTCTAGCAATTATCATCCCACTTGCTGTCATTCCCTGTATGTACACCATAATGCTGGGGACCATTTGTCATCACAAAGTTAAGTGCAAGAGGTTCTTCTTAACTTCCACTGCTATTATAGTGACTGGACTTATTGCCTACCTACCCTCAGCACTTGCCAGCATGTTCGATATTCCAATGAGCTACGAGTTTTCGCAGGTGGCAACAGTTACACTATACTATTCCAACTCCATAATCAATCCGATAATTTACTTCTGTTTTCATCCAAGAACTAAGGCTGCTATTATTGCAAAAGCAAAAGGGCTTGAAGTACCATCTAGACTCTCTGCAGGAAGCAGGGTCAGCACAGCTCCTAGTCCAGTAATGGGAAGATCAGTAAGACTTCAAAGATTATCACATAGGGAGGCAATATCAGACTAATACTTTGTACTGTAAGAGTTGCACAATTCCCAAACAAAGTGAGGGACTAATGAACAGAGTGAGGGAATTTGTATGGCTTATCTGTTATAATGTCTCAATTCTCAAAAGGAATTATAAAGTTGATGGAGCCTATCAGATAAACAATTTGTAACAGAGAAAATACAAACTTGCTACTTGTCTAGCCTCATCTTGAGGAATATATTTAATACATCATTTGCCAGGTCAAAAGGATACCCTTTCAAATACTGCGCTGAAAATGAATTTATGTTACGTTGTTTAGACAGTCCATAAAAAATCATGATATTATATATCTTTGAGCAGTTTCCAATTATAATTTGAAATTTGAATTGGTATGTCATGTTTGAATTGGTATGTTATGTTTATATTATAACATAAATATAATAATGAAATAAGTAAATACCTTTAACGCTTTGCTCATGCTTGTCAACCACATCTTGTCTAATAGCTCCGACACTGAATGATAATATAATGCATTGAATTAATGAATTATACATTCCTACATAAAATCTTTAAATTGTATATTTTAAAATTAAAATTTTAAGGCACCTTAATAGTATCAAGAATTCATTGAATAACATTATAAAATTCAACTTACTCTACTGTTCTATCAGTATTTAAAGAGTTTTCTATTGTTTTTGATCCCCAGCGCTGATCTTTTTCGGAAATATCATTCTGAAGACAATATTATTTCAAACTGAATACTTAAAATTTTAATGTTTCATAATTCAGTGATTTATTCATAATACAATATTTTAAAACTATTTCCACAACTAAAATTAAATACATTTATTGAGAATTATGTATTGGGATGGAACTGGTTTAACCAGGTGTAGACTGTTATAGCCAGTACACACCCTGGCTCCATAATATGAAGGATTTGTTTTAATTCCAAATAAAAAGCTTGAATACTAATTTTTTGGCATTGAATCACTCACCACAAAATCTGCATCAGTATCCCAGTCATCGTCGTCATCATCTTGAATAACAATATTTTTCGTATCAGCAACTTGACCTTTCCACAATGACATACTTTCTGAAAGTGCAATGGAATTATTTTTGTTCAGCTTTTCTTATTACACCAACATCCAATAATTCTAGCACCTTCGATAGAAACATCTGTGCCCAAAACATTGACAGCAAGATGTCAAGAAAGCACTATAATTTAGCTTTATAGTTTGCTATGTTATTGAAGTGTTACTGAAAATTTAAGTGAACATAAGATAAGTCTAACACCATGATAAGTGATGCAATGATTGCCTCTATTATCACTGCAATGATATTGATACAAAGGCCATAATCTTTCGCCAGCTCCACCTTGAAGCTGCATTTTATATCCTCAAACTACACAATATGAACTTAAGCATATTATAGTGTAGACTTTTTGTCACAACAAAACTGCAACCCATAGTAACAACTATGAACAAAACCCCTAATGTCTGCTAACGATTTTCTTCTGATCCTAATATGAGCCTTGTCTCTAAAAACTCAACTGAACTAGCGTTTCGGTGCATGCAAAAGCTTTCAGGCACGCACATTCCTTGCCCCGTTGCGTTAGTTACCTGTCCTTTCAAAATCAAACCAGCAGTTAAGGACAAAAAGTCATACACCAAATGGGCATTATATTTTTACGAATTGTTTTACATCTTTTTATTCTATAAAAATAAAATGGGGGCGAAAATCAATGCATGACTGCCGACTGGTCGTATCGAAATTAGGTCCATTTCACTACCACTGAATGTCAGTTGAATCAAATATGGGTACTATTACCATCGTGTGGAGATGAAAACAAGCCAAGGTTTAACAAATGAGATCTATTAATCAGCTTATACTACACTACCATGATGTGTGAATGTCCCACAGCCAGAAACGGGAAACCATAGCAGACTAGCAGATAATCTGCAAGGAAATTTCTGATTTCGGAGGAAATTTTTGGTGCCAAAGAGGAAATTTTCAAAACATAATCCAAAATTGTTGACAAATGAAAGAGGAAAAAACCAACAGTTCTTTAAATTGTTTTTGAAACTGTAGCTGTGTTTGAAAATGATCTCTATTGCTAAATTGCTTCTAGGCCTTCTGTCTGAGAATTTTTGCCTGCGGCAAACATATCTTCAAATCCTTGCCATGTTTACTAGTGGGTTGTAGGAGAAAGCCATTTTGTAACACACTATTTTGAAGGGCTTCAGATATTTTGTTATTGTAGATTTTAATGTGGACAAGCAAAAACGAAAAAAATTTTCTGGGGCCTAGCTTCAAATGCTTAAGAACTGTTCTGCCTCACTCACCGACATTGCGCAAGTGGAAAATTCGCGAGCGAAGCGAGCGGCCACAGAAAACAGAAAATTTGTATCTGCGAGGAAATTTTTAACTTTCTGGATGTGGGGTGAATGTGCCTTAGTGTGGAAGATTAGAAAGTGAATTGTTAGGAGTATGCTTTGCTGCTTTAAGTGATGTTGTTTTATTCGATAGACTTTTATGGTGCATTCTAGCTCGATATCTGAAATTGTGAACACTTGGTTGATTGGGGACCAGCTTTGCTTACTGGCCAAAGTTTACTTCAAGTATATATTATTATAGATACACAATTGATGCAAAAAAGTAGCACAGACTACTTAAAATGACTCCTAACCTCTGTATGACTATAATATTATGATCTACACTAATAAACCCAAATAATCTGTGGGTGTGTACGTGTGTAATTTCCTAATGGTTTAATCAAGAAAACAGTAAAAGTGATGGGACTGGTTTTTTTATATATTTTATATAAATTTATTATTGACAAAACTCTGAAAAAGCCAATTTAAGCAATTTTTCTAAATCAGCCGGTGGGAGGTGGCTTAATTGATGGTTTTGTACCCCAAAAGTGTCTCACTTTTACTCCCCATCTCTCACACTCTCTCTCTCACACTCTCTCTCTCACCATTTACAGCTCCCTAATTACAGCTTTTGGTCCCGGTCGTAGGCACGGGTTACACTAGTAAATGATAAATGTGATTATTAATCAGGCAAAATATAATTTATTATAAACACTGTCACAGAGATGAATGCCAACTAGATGTGCAAGTTAGAAATTAACTATGCTGAATAGGCTCTCGAGAACTGTTTCATGTTTAGTCCTGTATGATCAAAAAATACTTTTAAAAAAGCAAAAAACTGTGCGTTAAAACATGTTTCAAACACTCAAGCTAACAACAATGAAACAAGAAATTTCAATGAAACAAGAAATTTAATTTTAGCACATTTTTACAGAATAAAAAGATGTAAAACAATTCATAAAATATAATGCCCATTTGGTGTATGACTTTTTGTCCTGACTGCTAGTTTGGTTTATGAAGGACAGGTAACTAACGGGGCAAGGAATGCGCGTGCCTGGAAGCTTTTGCACACACCGAAACGCTAGTTCAGTTAAGTTTTTAGAGACAAGGCTCAGATTAGGACTAGAAGAAAAATTGTTAGCAGACATTAGAGGTTCTGTTTATAATTGTTACTATAGGTTGCAGTCTTGTTGTGACAAAAAGTCTACACTAAAACATGATTTAGTTTATATTTAGGATATAAAATGCAGCTTCAAGGTGGATATTGGAGAGCTGGTGAAAGATTATGGCCTTTGTATCAATTGTTATAATAAGCTATAAATATCTTAAACTATACAGTGCTAATTAAAAATTTCTTTAACCTTCATTCTCAAATTAGATTTTTAAAATTCAAAAATAAATATACAATGATTTTATTAAAAATTTCTCACACATACTTTACTCACAGGACAAGACTTGGAAAACAGTGGCCTAGCGTAATTTTAATTGAGATGTGTGTGACCAGCCAGTTATGTTTGGACAATAACATTTGTGCAGTCAAAATCTTTGACGGTCCAATCAAGCAGGGCATGATTATGTTGATTAGCTAATAGCGCACGTTTTAACTTACCTCGCAAGCACATTACACTAGTAGTAAAGTCAGTCATTCTGAACTTTGGGGTTAAAATGTTAAAAATTTTGGTTGATCTAGTGTTGTGATTGTCAGGTGGGTCTGCCTGACAGATTAGAAGACAGGGTTTCCTTGAGGAACATGTGTAACCCTCCACCCTTTGGGGGAACAAGACATGCAATACGAGGGGAGAGGAGCTACTTGACTTTCTCTCCTCCCTAGGGCTGTCATGTGCCAACAAAGGATCATCCCCAACCTTCCTCAACTCTCGAGGCCACAATTCAATTATCGATCTTACAATAACAAACCAGTTGGGAGGAGACCTCATTAGCAATTGGCATGTTAGTGACCTCTACTCCAACTCTGACCATCGCTATATTATGTTCGACATAACTACAGGGCCAAAGAAGGAACCCAAACAGATCCGACTAGTCAAAAACACTGACTGGGACAGATTTGATGAGATCCTATCGATTAACCCCAACCTTAACAACACACAAATCAACACTACGACCGAAATTGATCACAATATAGACATCATCAATACTGCACTTAAGGAAGCCTTCGAGGAGGCATGCCCCATTACTTACATCTCAAGTTCCGTCCGCAAACCCCCCTGGCTAACTCGAGAAGTAGAGGAAGCACAGAGGGGAATAAGACAAAAACTGATTACAGCCCGAAAAAAGAAAACTGATGCCCTGTGGCTCGCTCTTAGAGAGAGCAACAAACAATACAACAGACTTATATCCAACTCCCAGCGTAATGCCTGGAGAACTTTTTGTCAGGAAACAGAGTCTGTTAAGGAATCCGGAAGGATGAACAAGATTCTGAAATCCTGCAACGACAACAAGCACACACTAGAAGCCGTTTACAAACCAAACGGAGACATCACCAAAAATGCAGAGGAGACACTGGAGGTCATGACACAAACCCACTTCAAGGATAGTGTCACTGACCCGCCAGTGCCTCCACCTGGACCTCTCCCAATCACCACCACCTTACTCAATACCATCTACAGCCCAGACAGAATCGAGGAGGCTCTTAAATCCTTTGATCCGTTAAAAGCTGCTGGACCCGACACCCTCAAACCTATCATCATACAGAAAGCTTGGACACACATCAAAGACATCACCAGAACCATTATGACAAAAAATCATGAAACCCAACACATTCCAACTTTGTGGAAAGAATCCCTTGGAATCTTTCTCCCAAAGCCTGGAAAAACTGACTACAACCAACCAAAATCATTTCGCACTATCACCCTTTCTCCTGTGATGTTAAAACTACAGGAGAAGGTGATACTGTGGCATATGCAACACGACCTTAATATCGCTAAAGACATCAACAAACGACAATTTGGCTTTAAGAAGGGATGTTCAACCGAAGCAGCCCTTCATAAAGTTACTCACACCATCGAGCGCAGGATAGCTAAGAAGGGATATGTCTTAGGAGTCTTTCTAGATATAGAGGGAGCTTTTGATAATGTCTCTTTCAAGGCTATTTCTGACGCTATCAAGACCACGAAAGTGGACCCGGCCACAGCACAATGGATTATCAACATGGTAACTAACAGATTCATCACATTAAATCATAAGGATAAGTCGAAAAGGGTTCGGATCCGGAGAGGGTGCCCCCAAGGTGGCATCCTTTCCCCTTTCCTTTGGAACCTGGTAGTCGATGATCTCCTGGCCTACACCGCAAGAGACATACCGGGTTATCTGCAAGCTTTTGCAGATGATCTGCTTTCTCTAGCGGAGGGGAATGATTTAGACATCATCTGGAACAGAACACGCAAAACCATCAACACAATAGAAAAATGGTGCCAAACCAAAGATCTATCCATAAGCGCACTCAAAACACAAATAGTCATGTTTACCTGGAATAAGAAATGGACCCTTAGACCTGTGGTGGTGGGTAACACCACTATAGGACTATCCAAATCTGCCAAATTCCTAGGAGTGACCCTCGACAGCAAGCTCAATTTCAATGAACATATCACCAATACCACCAAAAAAGCTACGGCATCCCTCATGCAATGCAGAAGAGCTGTCGGCCCCACTTGGGGTATGAGCCCTAAAACATGCAAATGGATGTACACCGCTGTCATCAGAC